CGGACAAAGAAGCGAGAACCTTTAGCAGCCAACTTGATATTGAAAGAAACCGTTTGGGCGCGCGGGTGGTCGGAATTTTTAAGTAATGCCCAACAAAGAACTCGTACATACATTTGAACTTCCTACCATGTGAAGGGTCAAGCCAAAAGTGGTCTCAGGGTGACTCTTGTATTATTCAAAAGCTTTGAGAGATCGTTAAGAAGAGCTGCTGGATCTCCGAGCTTCGGAACAACAAGTTCCATGAAAGACAATAGGGCTGGGAAAAAATCAATTTCAGCTTTTAAACTGAACTGCGGGGAAATTGTTCAAGCTTTGTACTGTTTTCCATTCGAAGAAAAACTATTCCTAGTTATTAATATTTGTAAAATAACTGAAAAACGTCATCGAATCATTCTCAGTGGATACTCTTTTCGATTATGAATTGGAAATTTAACAATTGATATTTTGCCTGACAACTCGATGCGCGTCTCATTTAAGTACGAGTATGACGCCGTCGTTTTATTTATTTCTTTTCCTGGTCAATATTTTTGCACGAATCCTGGCTTCGAATATTTACAGCGGATAGATAAGCTCTCCCTGCATCGCCATTCTCATGCAAGAATACTTCAGTTCTGCAGGAAACTTCATTATCGTAGTCAGGCTTTTAATTACTTCAATGAGACGCATGCCAAGCTTTCAAATCAAGCCCGGGGATGGCCAAGAAACTTCGTTAACTTTGTTATAGATTCTCTTTAGGGCTGCCAGAACTACCATCAGAAACCCTAATGTGTATATATTACAAATGCAATGTGGCAAGTATAAGAAAATGGTATTGTTTAACTTTGGTATGTCCATGAAATGCATCTCTCATCGTGCCTCATTAGTTAACATTCAAATCATTGCAACGAGAAAGAATGGGATTTAACATGTTAACCCGCTGTGTGTTGGCCAAGATTGGATCGCAAATCAGACAGATACATACATACAAGGCAGTTCAAATGCTGTCAAAACATGTGGCTGAATTGATCGCTTGCCATATTTAGGCTAAACTCCACATACATGGAGCAGTGACAGCGAAATGATTTGCATCGTAAATCAGCCCACAAGTGCATTTACGTGCGTTTGTTCATGTTTACAGTGACAGCCGTGCCGGTCACGCATTCGTTCTTAAGCCCTCGCTGAAGTTGTCAAAAAATTCGTGCACTACAAAATTCAACTCGCCGTCAATACGTATCAACGAAGTTTACGATTCCACACGATGCCGAATCGTGAGCATTTATTATAGAGATCTTTAAAAATCGAAAAGAGTTCATTTTAACTGATATTTTTTTCTGTGTTTTTGCTGGGCGGTCTCATATTAAACAGGAACAAAATTTCGATAGAACAACAATGTTTTTTTTCGACAAAATGTCCCAAAATGTTTTGTCATTTTCAATCCAGACATTTAGCATAAGGCAGAATTTTGAGTCCATAAGCTATTTTATTTTTGATTAGTCCCGAGAGCGTTAGTCTTGAGCCTGGTGCCCTCGATCATGTAAAACTGCATTCATTTGCAAGATTGACATTGGATGTGAGATTTAAGATTGACAATAGAAGTGAGTAATTAGGATTATTCTAACAAAACAAAAACATTAGTTAAATTCGCCTCCTGAAGTTGCGAGAAAACAAAAGTAGATTTGTTTCACTGACAGGGGGCCAGTTCTATTGAAAATGCAAATGTATATTTTTGGTCATGCAAGCTGGGTTGTTTTCACCGCCATAAGCGGGTGATCGGAAGGCGTTTGCTCTACAGGGAGCCTGTAAAATGGACGATCTTTGCCATAGCTCTCAGGGCAATTTACGCTCCCTGGTTTTGTCTACGTCCTCGTTTATTTAACCTGTAATATTTCATCTTAATCACTTGCATTGATGAAATATAAAATCGCATAAAAACATGAAAATAGTATGTTTTGTGGTCGGAGACCAGAACCATCGGTTTCTAAAATTTAAATTGCGAATTAATCGCAAATTGCGTCAGCGCCCGTTACTGAAACCAAAATTATAATTATTCTTTGTTACTTTTTAGCGCAAATTTATTGTAAAAAATGTAGAAAGTGTTATAAATATCACTACTTCATTCAGGTTTCAGTAGCAATATTTATGAAAGAAGTTTGCATGAAAATACTTAAAATACGCAATCAAAGTTTTAGATTAGCATTTCATGTACAATTGGGCATTTTTGGCCCTTGCGCATTGATGGCATACCTCGCAGTACGCTTTGCTGTGGATATAATCGATCCGAAATCTCTTTATATCACAATTTATAGACCATGAATGTGTTTGCGCGTGAATGGACAAACTGTTTCACAATACCAGCAAACATTGTGACACTGTGAGCATTGGACCCTTGAAAATATTGATGCAATTCTGGAAAACGCAGCAGTCGTAGAGACACGACGTATTTTACGACATTCTTTGGGGCGCTGCTATCCGTTTTTGCCGTCGCTGAGCTAATGAAGTGCTTGCCATCCGTGAAGTGAGATCCGAGGTACAAAAACTTCAATGGACCGCTATTTTCAGGCAAAGCTTGCAGAACGTGTTGTGTTTTATTTCGAATTTGCATTGATGTTAAATAATTCTAATAAGATCAGTTTAAGAAATGTTATTTAGAACTGTTTCTTGAATTAAAATTTGTCTTGCTATTTTATTAACAATTTAAATGCGATTTTTGGGTACACCTTATGTGGGGTAAATTGCTCTTAATCGCTTACTACATCCTAAAATTTATTAATTTAATTGACAACGATTCGCTTTCTCTTATTCTTGTGTTTCCTATGCATGTATGCTTTTCACTCCACTGTTGCTGGCATGCATGAAATGATCGCTAATAAAGACCGAGATTTAATAGTCAATCACTGGGATGACGTACTCCATCAAATTAATGCGTTACAGGCTGCAAGAAATAAGCAGTCAATTATTCTTCTCAAGAAAATTGCTGCGAAATAAAATTGTATTTTTATTGAACAAGTTTGAGCAGTAAAATGCACAGGAAAGAAGTAAGTCAATAAACTGAGTGCCTTGAAGAAGCTGAAGAGATTATTAAATCGTTTTCTTTATGGAGCAGAGACGCAGTCAGTGTCAAACTTATGCAGCGCTTAGCTCAATATTTATGAGTGTTGCCTGAATTTACGACCGACTCTAGAAGTCGTAGCTCGGGGCGACCTCAAACCTTGTCAAACTTCGTGACCAGAGTTGAGAGACATGCTGCACTTGGCAGGTGCACTTGGCACCGATTAATAGCACTTGAAATGCAAAGCGTTTCTTCGTTTGAGAAATTAATTTTTTTGTGCCTTCAACTTGCAATTAAATAAGAACGCTAAATGATTTTGACTTATTGTTTAATTGCATTTAATGTATTCAGCTCATACACAAAAAAGAGGTTGCTCTGAGTCTGGTGTGAAATGATTCTACTAAACCATAAAGAGCTAAGCATGTAGTAAAGAGAGCATGGATAAATTTTCCCATTTAGTTAATAGTGAAGAAAAAATTTGTTTACTTAGAATTTAAAACTCAAATGAGTACAGTAAATCTATTAAGATAGCGAGGAAACGTGAATTTTTATTATGCAATTTATTCTGTCTAGGGTGAAAAATAAAAATACCAATCAATTTGATGAGTCTCGGGATCTACAATTAGATCAAAATATAGCCAGACTACTACATCAACAACTTATTAACTACAACAGCAGCTTATTGAGGTAAATAAAGAAAAGTGCTATTTTAATATAATTATCATCATTCCAGATGGTAACGTGTGCCAGACCTCTGGCATGTTTATAGCAATGCAAACAACTCAGTTACTGGAGCGCAGTCCTGATGCTGATCCTGCTATGGCCTGATTATTCCATTCGGACCTACGATGTGAGAAGGTGTTTTTGGTACACTTCCTTCATCATGATATATGGGATCTAGTTCATTATGATATCTATGATTTATAGTTCATTATGATATCTATGATTTATAGTTCATTATGATATCTATGATTTATAGTTCATTATGATATCTATGATTTCTAGTTCATTATGATATCTATGATTTCTAGTTCATTGTCATATCTATGATTTCCAGTTCATTATCATATCTATGATTTCTAGTGATTTCTAGTTCATTATCATATCTATGATTTCTAGTTCATTATGATATCTATGATAGATGTTGCTCTATATTATATGTAAAGATGTGACAAAACAAATTTCGCCCTTGAGTAGTGAACAAAAAATTCGAAGATGAATGGTTTAATTGACAACATTTGAAATAAACGCTTACAAATCTATTAACTCGTAGTTTAAAAGTGCAGCAGAATACAGTAATAAGCAACATTATCAATGAAAAGCAGTAAAAAAACAATAAGAAATAGTGTGTTCGATCAGTGAGCCCCGGGTAAGCGGCTTATGTCCATTTTTCCGTGGCTACTCAAAGATTGAACTCCTTGACGACCGACTTACGTCATTCGGTTCGTAGATGCTCGACGAGTGTACCTCTTGACGACCGACTTACGTCGTTGGGTTCGTAGATGCTCGACGAGTGAACCTCTTGACGACCGACTTACGTCGTTGGGTTCGTAGATGCTCGACGAGTGAAACCCTTGACGACCGACTTACGACGTTCGGTTCGTAGATGCTCGAACAATTTTTGGACTCATCGACTAGTGAAACAAAGCAGTGACCGCGTGACCTGAACCAGCATCCCAGGCATCGATGTCTCACTTGCAATAAATGACATCAGGAACGGAACAAAAGCGATCACGTCTTTTCAGCGTCACCGCCCTCCTGCTATTGCTTTCACTTAAAACTATTCATGGTCCTTTGTCGTTTAATTGTTCGAAATCAATAGTGAAATTACAGCTCATAGTAAATTACGTTATTTTGTTGCATAGTTTTCGCTAATAACCGAATGTATTATGCTAAATTGTGTGCCGAATTGTTTAGAAATGCTCTTTGCTCTATGTTTGATGTAGAATATAAGGACAATAATAGAAATATATCCAATGTTAATTTAATTTTCAAATTTTACGGATTGTAAGAGTTAATTGATGAGCTATTACTTCATTATCAATTATCACTAAATAGTAATTATTCTACCGTGCAAAAGAAGCAAAAAATATCGTAATCAATTTCATTAACATCTCCTGCCATTTCAGTTGTAATTTGCTTACTATTGACCTCTGATTTAGGTTCAAACACAAATTAAAAACAGAAAACAAATTATAACAAAATCTTTATAAAATACACAGCAGAGTTTTGATAATCTTGATTTCAAACGTTTTCGTCGCTTGGGATCGCGGAACAGACGATCTGATCGTCGGCAGCGTGCGGGACAGTGACCCGCAGCAGCGGATCGCGATCCATGCTCCGCTGGATCGTGGTTTTGGCGTACAGATTCCCGCTCCAAGATCTTCGACGGAACACAAATAATAATTAATCAAAGTTCTTTGCTATAAAAAGGAGTTCACAACCTATAATTTAAGAAGTTTCTATATAAATTGAAGTTCTTATATCGAAAAATTAGTTCTTAACCGAAAATTTTAGAATCTTCAGTTAATCGAATTTCAATCTTGAATAAGACTCGGGTCTAGATCAACATTTATCAAGTTTTGGTGAATATATTTTACTTCTTTATTCATTGAATGATACTTCTAACTATTCTTCTCATAAAGATGTTACTTGTTAATAATTTCAGGCTTTTTTTTACATTTGATTCCTTCATATGCAAATGATTTATTGATTACGAGCGTAAATCCAAAAACTTCCTTTTATACCAACTAGGTATATTTTACATGTATTCTAGTGAAATTTGATTGTTCATCTGCACACACGCTTTTTACAACGGTAATATGCAAGAATTTTTATCACATTTAACCCATCCTTCGTTTCACAAATTCTGAATGCGTACTTCATCACCTATCACATATTCTGGAATCGTGAAGCCCTCGAAACGCAATCACATAAAGCAAAGGTCACGAAAATCACTAATCGCGTAAGTTACACTAATAACTAATCGTACAAGACATATTAATTACTAATCGTATAAGACATATTAATCACGAATGCGTATACGACATATTAATCACTAATCGTACAAGACATATTAATCACTAATGCGTATAAGACATATTAATCACTAATCATACAAGACATATTAATCACTAATCGTATAAGACATATTAATCACTGATCGTATAAGACGTATTAATCACTAGTCGTATAAGACATATTAATCACTAATCGTTTAAGACATATTAATCACTAATGCATATAAAACATATTAATCACTAATCGCAAAGGACATATTAATCACTAATCAAATAGCACGTTAATCACAGGACCAACTGACCGCCTGGCGACGCCGTTGGCGACGTCCCAGCCCAGCATGAGAGACGCGCGACGCTCGGCCGCCGATGAGCCGTCCAAGACCAGCCCAAAGCCACCGTTGATCACCTCGCCCCTGTTGTTTGTTGTTCCGTAGGGCACTTTATTATATTTCTAATAGATAATACATGTTAAATTTTACTAGTACTTTTCAGATTATATCATGAAAACAGAGATTCAGCGAACGGAAAAGATGGTAGCGTGAAACAATTATTTAAATATATTTGCCCGAAATAAAACGAAATATAAAAGAGCCAGTTTGTTAAGATAAATAAATATTTTTGTCTTGTAAATTTTATGATAAATAGATAACTTTAGCTGGTAAATTTTTTGATAGATATATAATTTTTGCACTGACCAGCCGACGCCTCCCCCGTTGTGCAGCGCCACCCACGTGGCTCCTCTGCACGCGTCCCCGATCACGTTCTGCACAGCCATGTCTGCACACGGAGAGAGTGCACACAAAATATGTCTGCACACGGTGAGAGTGCACACAAAATATCTGTAGAGTTTATTATAGGAATATAGATTTTAACTAGCCACATTCCGTTATTTATAGTTTACTTCCATTAAATGTATGCCTATGGGAAGTTTGCAATCTTGAAACACGCCCAAAATGTCGTCAATGAAATCAAGCAAATCAAATTTGTCGAAAGATGGAATCGAGAATTTTAATAGTGCAAAGCTAACCATCGCAAGGCGCTATGAAAATTTTTATTTTGAGAAACTTTTTCTCTGCGATATGATACCTATGGAAACTACAGATCACAAGATCGTTTCGTGCTGAGCGTTGAGATCGCCACGGGAAATAAATTGCGCTGACGCGCAAATTTAAATAACAAACTTGTTACATCTTGTACTATGAAGTTGAAAATTAATTTAAATGTTGTTTCCTGATCATATTTCGACTACCTCAAATGAAATAACATTGAGCGCACAGGAAATCTACCGCGGATTTCATAAAGTGAAAAGTTTGTTCCAAACGAGAGATTGTATGTATCCTTCTATCACATCACATCTTCAACAGTTTTAGAGCTACTGCAGGCGCACTATTATTTATTTGATTATTTTTTGATGTTTTGGGTTATTTTTTATTTTAATTAGTGAATGTTATTTAATTCCCCCAAATTTTTACCCTTTCATCGTTTTGCGATTCCTAGAGATTTTGTTACCTTAACACACAGATTAGCAATAACTCCGAGGTGATTTTACCCATCAGACTATTATATGAAAAAAATGTATTGTGCCTACGAGCACGAATATCTCTACTGGATCTTCAAGGTGTTGAGATTTTGACCAATGAGCAAGCAAAAAAAACACTTTTATTGAGCTTTTGACTAACAAATTTCGACGAAAGAAAATGGTATTCTATAGGGCTTGCGCTGTAAAATATGAAGAAGGTATTAGAACGCGGATTATCGCTATCAATCGTTTTTGGTCATATTAAACGTATATTTTTATTTGAATCGTAGTATAGTGCGCTGCGTAAAAAACGAGGGTTAGTTTGAAGAATTAAAATTTCATATTAATTTTGAAAAAAATATTAATTTTTCAGCACAAATAGCATAATGTTTTTCAAGTTTCAATTGGGTTTGTTGTTTTTAGTGGGGGTTAGAACAGGTCGCTTCTCACTTTGGATGCATGACTTTAAATGTATATTTACACAATAATCTTCACAATTAAGCATTATTGCAATAACTTGTAATTACTCTCTGAGGCGTGAAAATAATCGAATGCCATTGAACAGCAACAAAAAGTTTTGCTTCCATTAGCGAGTCAGTCAACAAATGATCATCGATTTAATCTACAATATTACAAGCAAAATGACAGATCGATGAAGAGATCATTTTTACTCGTTACCACTTTCTTACTGATGCAATTTTATTATCATCTGACATGTACCTCTATGGTATTATTATAGTATTTAAATACTAATATTGTAGTGAATTGTAGAATCATTCTATGATTGCAACTTTCATCTTTAAATCATAAATAAAATCTAAGAACACACTTGCAAAGGAAGGAACAACAGTTGGAGAATCATTACAATTTAATTTAATTTCTCATTGAATTATCCATGTTCAAAATAATTTAGTTCGTTAGAGGATGTTTCATCATCCCAAATTATCAATTAAAATCTACAAGAAGACAAAACTTACAATTTTTCCTCGTGTCATCGCTTTCGGATGATCAAATTCAATAGGATGTCAAATGACATCGCACTTCACAAATATGAGGAATTATCTTTTCCCGGAGCTACTTAACTTACCTGAGGTCTTTATTATCTCATTAGTCATCATCAGAGCTTTCTTTTGAGTGTCACGTCAGAAAATTAATCATACGTGACTAATCTTTATTAGGTAATAAAGACTTTCCAGTAGAGATGAACGCATTCAACCTGAAATCATAGACGAGTTCCAAGACGACGGTTGACCAATGTGATACGTTTCACGCCATTTGTATTTCTATCATTGCAACAGAGTTTCTCCAGCGTAAATGAATGCCAGATAAGAAATTCTACGACCAGTGAGTGTACAAAAACATTCGTATCAGAATTGCACTCGATCAAAGTGCCACACAGCAATTTGGTTATGGCCACACCGGCCTTCACCTTCCTCATTTTGGCACGAGTTCTTTTGATTGGAAGTCTGATATTAGCTCTCTGTTATTGTCCATCTCGAGCGCGGTGTCCGGGGCTGTAGCGTGACCAGCCCGAACCTTAATTGCAACAAAGAAGGCGAGTGGCAAAGATTTTATGACTGCCACTATCCATTGTTGGTCGCACCTCCAGCATTGTTATTAATGCTAGAGATTTATGGGGCTAATACCAGAATATGACGCTGCTTGCCTCTTTAAGTCGCGAGACTCAAGCTAATTAGCTTCCATTGATGACACTCAGCGGCAATGTTTGCTCGGATACAGCTGGCAAATTTTGCGCTGTCGGTGGTTTCTGCATTGATGCAGAAAACTAAAAACCATCAAAACCTGATGCTTGAAAGTTCAAGCAGAAGATGAAAAAGTCGAAGAAATCATGAAGACTACACTTATAGCAGATTATGAGAATTTTAATTAAGCAGATGATGATAGCCTTATGATATTTTAAATAAGGCCATCTTCATGATGTCTCAGGCATTTCTTCAAGCTAAAGTTTGAATATTTATATCGAATGAAACAAGGTTCAATCAAATTTTTAACCATCATACATTGAAAATTATTCAAATTGTTATATTATCCGTGAATCTGTCTAACATAGTTACTGGTCAGTGAAAAAATAAAGCAAAATATCGGTTATTGAAAAAATGTCTTGCTCCATTTAACTATACACGAAAGAAATATTTCAGCGTCATCAGATTGCTTGGTACATTAGAAGCCATCTTGGTAATGGATGAGGCTCTCAATAGATCAATTTGAAACTTTCGGTCAACTCGTGCCAGAATTTCATAGATGATGATCTAAAAATTGGTGTTTTATCTACAATTTCTCTGACGATTTAGAGTTTTAGACAACCTTCAACTGCACAATGTTTCTCGGTAGACAGCACAGGCAAGTCACGAACAGCCAATTGAATGACTAATTGTTGCTCGATATGGCCTATAGTAAAATTTTCTTTAAAACACTGATATAAACTATTAAGTATTCTTTACAAAATATAATACAGATTTTGTCATTTTGAATCTTTTTAAAAAATTATGTATATTTGTCCTCTTGTGTGCAAAAAACATTATTTGGAGAAAAGTTTTTCCTTAAATTCACAATTTATGCTTTTTTAACGAAAGAACAGGCGTTCAAAATGCAAGAATTTTTACGATATTATGTAATGATCGAAGCCGCAATCGCTTCTTTTGAATGGTTTCGCTCGCATTTGGGCGTTGCGGCGTCATGAACGTTCATATTACGTAGACAATTTATTGGTTGTGACGTGCCTCTGCATTGATGGAGGCAACACGTGAGTGTCTTATCTTACTTCTAATGAACGCTTCTTACTGCATGACTTATGACTTTTTGACGTTAAAAACAGGAGCTTAAAAAAAGTCGAATCCCGATCGTGAAACTCCGCAGACTCCGTTTGCCATCAGTCTTCTGGAGCACGAGGTTGGCATGAATTTATGGGGAATCTTGAAAACTTTGAGAGTTCGTTTTTCACAAAATCTTAACAACGCTCTTTGTTCATGCAAGAAAAGAAGATAATAATAATATGCCTGCATAGTTATTACATACGAATATACTAAGTATATGTTTAAGAAGTAGTGACTCGTTTTTTTATGTACTTATAATATATAATATATAATTATAATTTAATTCCTAATATTTAAGAATGCCGTTCTCCATAAGCCCGTTAGTCCTTGCAACTGAAACTGGGTTGAATTATGAAAGAAATCTCTCCACCTAATTTTCTTAATTCGATTCCATTGTTCATTGAAGAAAAATTTTATTCCATGAATATAACATGATAAGTGTCTTGCTATTCGCCTGAACTGCCCCTTCATATTACCAGCACGAGGCTTCAACAGACACATGAAGTTTTGCCATTTATAATAGGTTTTTCACTGATTATTCACTGCAGTCTGTGGCTATGATGAGTGTCTTAAAATACCGAAAAACTATGTTTTTCTGTGATCATTGAAGAAATGCAGGAATAGTTTCAAGAAATAATTGTGTGTTAAAATAAATACCAAGAATAATTGATCGCGTTGAGTACTCAGCTTACTTCTTCATTGAAAATATAATCGCTCTGTATGTACCTAATCAATGAATAGACCAGAAAAATAATCTTCAAATCAGTCACGAATATTACCTTTCTTGTCACATGTCATATGCTAAATTTAAGCAGTAAACATCTATTTCTTAGCAAGCATATGTCCCGCCCTTATTTCCCCAGCTACAGACGCACGGTGATCACAAATGTCTGTCACACTAACGTCACTGCACGAGACTGCACAGCTTGACCGCCCATGATGCCGATCGGTTTTGGTGATATCGATGCTGTTCCGGTCATTGGTTGTTTAGAGCGCATGTATAACGAACACTTTTACCGCACAACTCCTTATAGGTCATCGCCCACGCCGTCCTATCCGATCGCTTTGAAACATCTAAAATTATGTGAAGAAAAGGGTCCTTACAATCGGCAACAAAATGTCAGCGCGATTATAGGAATGCGAAGTCTTTCTTATCGGAATAAACGTTTCCACTAGACTGTTTATTTGCAGTCATCATTAGCATCAAAAATGTTAACTATTAATTGATTTCTTCTCACAATTAGAAAACCACAATAAACATGCATCACTCTAACCAGTAATGCTATTACAATGTTGAAAACAGATAGTATAAAAATAGTTATTAATAAGAATTTTTATACATACAATATGAATGTTTATTTATGTGAATATTAATTTATATCGGTATTACCTGCAGTGAAGGCAGAGCCGTCATATATGTTGGCGGTCTCCCTGTAGGGCGAGTCTGTGCCACTCACGTCGTGGTGGTCACGGCTCACGACCACAGCGCTCTGAGAGCCGGGGTGCGGCGTGTACAGAGAGAGGTTACAACACGCGTGCGTGTTCATATAAGTGCTTTTAAACGCTGCTATGCTTAACGTTCCCCCAAAAATAATAGTAATTTAAAACTATTACGTATTATTTGCATTTTTTCATTCTTTTCAATGCACCCGATCCAGATTAAAAAGTTATCCATGACTGATAGAGTAAAAATATTTGCTAATAATTTGTATGACGAACTGCAAACCGAAGAGGTCTTCATTCATAAGTCAGGAATCTATTGCTACAATTAAGTTGATTAAATCGATCTCATCAAAATCATGTTGTTAATAATTCGTGAATTTTCAGTTCATTCAGGCGAGTAAAGTAATTCAAGTGTCATTTGTTAATTGACGGAATTCCAAAGGATTAAGATTGCATTTATATATGAAGAATTTCTGCAGTACTTGCCATATCCAAGAATAAAAAAGGCAAGTAAATTCGCCATATTAGCAAATTACCCTGATGAAGATATAATGAATTTGCTTGGCGTTTTCGTTGCTTCTAGATGTTTTCGGGAATTCGGTATGTAAAGCACTGAAAAATTGTTTGTATTTAATTACAATCTTAGTCCTCTGTAATAAGGCATTCAGCGATTTAAGCAAACTTATGATATTTGTGCTTCTCATATCAAATTTAAGCAAAAAAATTAGGTTTAAATAAATAACATTGGAATAATGTGAAGTTGCCGCAAAGAGCTGACAGGAGTTGACGGTTTTATCGCATACCTTGAGTTTGCCAGACTTGACAGCCTGGTTGATGGCAACAGCGATGGCAACTCTGCCACGCTGGTCAGCGTACAGGATTCTGGCAGCGCTGCCCACGGTCAGCTTGTGCTGACAGGCTTCTGTCAACCAGAGTTCATTGTCAGCGTATTGCTGGCGCACTTCCTCTGGTAAACCGGCTACGGGGTGAAAAAAAACACATGATATTCTGTGAGATTTTGTAAATAAACTTTTTTAAAATAGGTATTTTTCAATTTGTAAAAACTCTAGCAGTCCAGAATATTATTTATTTTTGATTTCACTATCTAGTAGGTTGGATGGTGAATTGATAATGCGCTTGGTGTCTTTTTAAAAAATTAAACACTTTATTCATTAAGTTATCACTTCTCTCTCGTCACTGCTAGCAAAAAGAAGTTTTACGTACGTATACCACTGCATTGCTGTCGTTTGAACATGATGCTTTTCGGATGAATTGTTGAAACATTTTTATTTACATTGATTAAATTATCATCATCTCCGATATTTGGTCCAAACCTGCAGCAATTTTCCTGATCTCTTGGAGGGCGATGGCGTCTGTAGTAGCCAAGTCTTCGAGGCTGCCGGAGCAGCACACCCAGCGGAACGGACCAAACCCGAGAGAAAATATATCCCTGTGCGAGAGGAAGCATGTCAACTGATTGTCTTAATGTTTATCCGTCTCGGTTTGATTTCCCATGCATGATCAATTTGCAATCATAAACATTTATAATTACATAACTGATTTTCGAAACGAAAGCTTAATTTAGTAACATGGGTGACCTACCTTAAGTGAAACCTTAGACTTGCTATCTCACTGTTATTATGAGCCCGTTAATCCGTCAGAAATACGATCTGAACCAAGCAGAGTTACATTATTATTATTCTACGAACTTTAGCTGATGCGCTAAAGTAAATTTCGAATTATTCAGCATACCAAGACTGCCTTCACTTGAATTGCAATCGGTTGACGCGGTAAATATTAATCTTCACTAAATTAATTCAAAATGAAGGTACTCACCCCATAATATCCTGCACGTAGCTGGGGTAGCGGAAGGGGGTCTCGGCAGACGTCTTATCTGAACCTTCAGCGTAAACGTCAGCGCCCGCCCTGCCAGCCTCGAGCAGAAACGCGTTTCCGTAGTCCCAGAAGTACATCCCTGTGGAGAATCCCACTCGGATCGAGTCTCGGTATTGTATCTATATATGTGACGTTACGAGACTAACAATACACTCGTAACATAAGTTTACCAGAATTGCATTCGGAACAATTTTTTATTTCAATGATTGAATGTTATTGGATTTACTGCTCCTCTAATTATTTTTAAATCGTACATGAGCACCTACGCGAGCAGCGAGCAAACCTAAAATGATTATAGAAATGGAAATCTACCATATGTACGAAGAGGAATATAATTGAATAATAATAATTGAAATTGGATGACCATCGTTCGATTTTATGAGAACTGAAGGAAATGCTTAATTCCTTCGATTTTTTCATGGATTTTTATTTAAACAGAGGCAGATGATTTTTCTAAACATGAGCTTTATGAATAAATGTTATGAACATGAATATTCGTGCAACCTGCAGCGGCCAAGGTGTTGATAGCGGCCACCTGCCGCTGGAGCGACTCCTGCACCAGTAGTTTGAAGCCCTCAGGGTCGTCAGCCAACATCTGGTCAGTCAGATCCATGTTAAAATTGGTGCTAATTACCTGTTTCAGAATATAGCTAATTTATTGAAGATACCTTCTGAGGTAACTTTATTCTACATTAGAAAGTATAAATAGTAACATTTTTTTTCAATTTTCTCTAAACAATTCATACTAGTAAATTTAAATTGATCGCTCTAAACACATGGACGGCGAACTAAAATTGAAGCCTGATCATTTTAAATGTACCAGAGTAACATCGGGGATTTGCGGCCTAAGATGTTAGGTAGTCATTTCGGAGAGATTGCAGCGACAACTGTGATGTTCTTTGTAATGACAATTCAATATTTTTTCGAAATCGTAGCCGAACTGGCAATGTTTTATTGTAAGGGACCTTGTTAGACTGTTCGTAGGTGAGCTGGACTGGATAGTAGCCGCCCTTGAAGGGGTTGTGGCAGGAGGTTTGATCCGAGCCTAAATCAACCAACAGGTCGCCGGTCTTCTTGTATTCTTCAGCCAAACCTTCCCACACATCAACGATGTTACCAAGATAACCGATGGATGTTGCTTCCTTCTTCTCTCTAGCGATCGATAATAAGTACGTATGTAATTAATTTGCATATTTAATAGAATTAATAATTTGATACTTACGGAATTTCCTATGTCTTCATATACGTTTACCAAGTTTGCCTGAGATGAAGCTACCATGACTACAACAAATTTGCAGATAAACGTAGGAGGCTGCATATTGGCATGCGTGCAATGCAGCCTCAATATATTGGCATAGGAGGCTGCACTTGTATATTGATATATAAATCGTCAAGAATCATCGCAAAACAAACCTAAAACATAATAATGCTCATGTGCGCACTTAAATATTTAAACACGAGTTAATTATTATTCGCACAAATATTCACGTCACAGAGAAGAGGTTCGCGTAGCTCGCACCTGGCGTGTCTGATGCGCTGCAGCAGGTCAGGCAGAGAGTCTGTGTGCTGCTGCAGCCAACCCTGCCGGTGCCGCTTCTGCAGAGCCTCTGCGCTCAACTGCCGCCGTGTTTTGCAACAGTATATACAATAAATAATTAGGTTTAAAACTCCTTCTTATACCCATATTGTTTAGAAAAGTTGCGCAATACTCAAATTAAGAAATATTCAACCACATGGACAGTGCCATAAATTGGAGATTAACCCCGGAATAACGATCGTTAGATGTTTTATCAAAATAGGGTCATTAGATTCCCCCACTCAATAATAGTCAGTAGCCTATATTAAAAAGATTTTAAATGATGAACTTGTTGTAGTGAAATATGTTTTACTGAAAATTTGTTATAGTGAAGGTCAAAAACACGTGAATCATTCATGAGTTAAAGAGATTTTTAAATCATCGAAGTATACGGCAGTCGAACACTATTTTATTTTGAGGACATTTCCTTGCATTATCTGAAACTATTAATCAGTATTGATCCATAAATAATCTCTGTATAGTTCAAAGCGTTTTTACTTCTCATCTCTCTGCTAATAATTCCAGCTTCAGAATAACACTTCCTTCTCGTCACAGTACTCTGAGAATACCAGATCCAGAATACTACACCCGTCGCGCCGCAGCGCTCTATGAATACCAGAATACCACTCTGGCGCACCACAGCTTTCTGTGAATACCAGAATACCACTCGGACGGCGACATATCGCACTATAAATACCGTGATATCAGGAATACCAATTACCGCAACACCGTAACACCGCAACACCACAACACCGCAACACCGCAACACCGCAACATCACAACACCGCAACATCACAACACCGCAACACCGGACCTCAACGCGTCGTACCTCAGCGATGACGCCGACGCAGCCGCAGATGACGGCAGCTTTTGCCTGAGCGCCGCTCATGCCGCCGAGTCCTGACGACAGGAACACGCGTCCCTCCAGCGACGCTCCTGGCACGTGCTTGCGACCTGCGTTCAGCACTGTCAGCTGGTCGACAAAATGTGCAATTAAATAAATATACCTTTATTAATTAATTTGTTAAAATTTATTATATTAAAGAAATATAACTATATTAATTACTTTCTTGAAATTTATTATAAAAAAGAAATATGTCTGTAAATAGACATTTATTTTCAATGAAAATCGAAACTAAGACAATTTTCCAACGTATCTTGACGAAACGCTTTTGTTGTAGTCGAATAATACAGTGAAATAGCCTAATTGAAATTGTCAGTAATGATTTAAACATAGTTTTTTTATTCTGAATTGAAAAGAAAATAGGTTGTTCGAAATTTGAGTTCCGTGTAAAATTTCTGATTCTTAATTAAAATTTAATATGAGACATTCTCAATGGACACAATTAATAAATCGTCGTGAAAATCGTCTAAACATGATTGGTTTATCATCTCTTACAGTTGTGCCGTGGACAATGCCCTGAGGTCCGATGTAGCAGAAGCTGCCAGCCGTCATCTGGCCGTACCTGACCGTTACATGATCAGGAATAATAATAATGATTATTCCTGAATAAAAATTAATAATGATTAAAATTTTATGAAAAATATCTACCATTTATTCTGTAAATCTTCCTTGGAACTGGCAATATAGATAAATTTATTTAATAATTCGAATAAATTGTCAACTTTCGTATAATATAAAAATGACATCAAATGATAAAGTGGTCATTCAACTAATTTAATATAATGCAAAATAATATAGTATAATAACATGCTATATTATGAAATAATATAATAAAATTTAATATAAGCGTTAGATGTTCAGTGCCCACATGGTGACACCGAGAGCAAACATGTCGTCGTAGCGCTGGCGGGAGCTGTAGTTCGGGATGACCATCCCGTTACTGATCACCACACGGGGGGCGTCGGGGTGTGAAGGGAACAGCCCCACGGGATGACCTGAGCTCAGCACCAACGTTTGGTCCTCCGTCATGGTGGACAGGTAGTGCATTGTGATCCAGAACTGGAATTTACGGTGGTTCTGAGTTCGTCTAACGTACATCATAGTTCTAATAACCATATTAAAGAACTCGTTGTTGAAGAAGAAATTTGCTATACCACGAGTTGTGAAGGCTTCCGGGAACTCTCCGATCCATGTAATTAGCACAGATTTTAGTTATTAACGACACTTGTTAATGACATTAAGTTCATATGATCCACATCATACAGCGGCTATTCCTAGCTGCTATAAATAAATGGATTAAAACTGTACCGTATCTCCTCAACGATATTTGAGGAGTTATCCACAAGATATGCACAAAGATATCCACCGATATCCGCAAAGATATTCACAACAGTATCCACCCTAAGCCTATTCAACATAAGCCCTTGCATCACCTGAGCCCAGTTACTGAAGACCTGCCCGTTGCCGCCGTACGTGACGAGCTCCTGGGGGTACTGGGCCACCGCAGGGTCCAGGTTGTTCATGATCATGAGCATGACGGCCGCAGCTTGCTTGGTACGGCAGGGGTACGCCTCTAGGGGGTACGCTCTGCCACAGAAATGTAGCCTCATAATATCGTAGGAAAATAATAAACGTGTGCCATCAGGCAAAGGACGTTTAAACAACGTGGAATGAAAGATTGAATCAACCAAACAACGTTTACTAATATTGTTGTTTTGACGTTAGATACCTACAGTATCTGTGGCGTAGGGTAAAATTAAGCTACTTAGTAATTTTTGGCCCAAAAAACTAGGCCCCTTTATAGTGTCGAGCATATAGGTAAAAGATTTAGGAAATTATATGATAGTTATAGCTAATACGCTTCATTTTAGTGATAAAGGCGGAGCATTTTGAGTATTCAGAGAGAATAATGTGATTGTATAACACTCAAGCGTCCATTTAAGCGGTAATTACCATGCAAAATATGCGAGATCTTACTAGAGAAAATCCACACTTAAAGAGTACCTAAGATTTGATTTTTATGGAGAATATCGCATGAAACACGCCCAGCATATCCATGTATTGCGCTGAATTATCAGTTGGTCAGTTTTGGAGCGCGCGAACACGAGTGTTGTACGACAACAGGCATGTCCGACCAGTTCCAGTGATGCTATCGTATTACAAGCTGTCAGACGTACGAGATGGGCTCATTAAGCAGGGCGAGACAGGTACGTTGTTTACACGCATAAAGATACGAATTCAACCTAATTCAGGTGAATTTTGCATTTACGTGTGAAAAGCTCAGACAAGATTTATCCAAATGTAGATTATTTTCATGTATTAGTTCGTTTCTAGCTTGTTTGAAAGGGTAAGGAATGCAGGGCAGCACGACTCGTGCTCGCAAGGATGTCAACGATGTGCATATAATTAAATAATTTGTGCACGCGCGCCTACAGCCAAATTGAAGCGCAAGATTGGCACTTATATTTTGTTTGCGCTGATTCAATGACTATGGGTTGCATAAATGGATCACACAAATCTCCTACAACATTAGGTGAGAAAAAAAATAAAATTAATAGGCAACTACGGAGAAGTAAATTTTTCTTCATAAAAGATTGCCCGTTTACAACATGAAAATTTTACTTTTGATCAATTTATGCTCTCAGGGCACGAAGAGCAGGTATTCAGATGTTGTTTATAATTAGTTATTTAAACCACTAATTTAATGTTCACTAAAAATATTCAGAAATTATAATGCAAAAAAATATATCAAGGCTGATCCATCATCATCTAAAATCCATCATATTTTAGAATCAATGTTAAAAATTTGTTTATTATATACATCAACGCGTACAGACAAATAACAGGACGTCAATGTATACACGAGGTTAAATTTTCTGTGCAACAAATTCTGTGCAAAGAAAATACTACATAAATTACCCAAATGTTTATTGAAAATGTTTTCAATGATACATGAAGAATTAATTTTTATGCCTTGTTCTATCCATATAAAATCTAGAGTAATATGCAATTTCAGCAAAGAAATTATCTAATTACACAATTTCTGGACTGCGTCGGGTACTATTATTTGTACAAAATGAATAGAAATGATAGAAATGGCTAAAATTTCAATACTATTCCGAACTAAAAATTTAGGCCATATAAGCTAAAAACTTCGAATATGTTTTTAATATGATTCCCGTAAATTTTATTCATAAACAAAGTATCCTTCGAATTTCAAGCACTGAGCTCAAATTTAACGTCGAAATTATTGACTGGAATTAAATATTGAAAATATTGACTTGGATTGACGGGGCACAGAACGGGGCACAGAAAATTTTTTAGTGCTCATACAAACTTGTAAGATGCAGATAACTCACTTCATAGGCAGGGTCGGGAAGAAGCGGTACATGTAAATGTGCCCAAATGTGCGCAGTTCGTGAGCAAACTCCGGAGCCAACTGTGCATGTTCGCTCGGCGGTATGTAGCGCAGAGCGTTGCGGATAGCCAACTACAGAGCATGAAACATCAGCGTTAGAACTAAAATAGAAATATACTTGTGTCAGCGTTGAAGGTTGCGCCATATTTGGCTTGTTGCCTATTTTTAGACCTCGCACAATTTACACAGTTACCTGCGAACCCATATCTCACAGTTAGCTATGGGTTCCACACCCAGAAATCAATGCTCCAATCTTGCAGTTATTTTTAACCGGTCCCCTAACAAATTTCGACCAAAAATTTCACACTTAGACGAGTTACTCGAAGCCACAACTCACTGTTAAAAACTCGCTGTTCTCGATCACATGACTCCCCTAATCGTTTTCGACCATAATTTCAGGTAGCGGACGATCAACTCGCAAACCACGATTTCAATTTTGTGAGCTTCACCACTCGGCCACAACGTGCACAACCTCTAAACTACACAACCAAAAAAGCTTGCAATGATGTTATTACTTATCCGTGATCCTAATGAATCTCGGATGAATATTCAGTTCCTATTGGCAATGGGTTCGTTACGAAATATGAGAAAAATTTTTAAAGAAAACGAAATCGTAAGAAATGATGTTGAACAATAAAGAGAGGACATTATGTAATTAATAAATTGCGAAGGCAACAAAAGTTTTAAGTGGTTATCAAAGAGACCAAACATACCCCATGCCCTTACCTGTTGCTGGGCGGGGGTGAGGGAGTGTGTGCGGCGGGGGGCGTGAGGGAGGTTGGGGTCCAGCCGCCCTGGAGGGGGCAACGGCGACAGGGGCAACCCGCTGCACAGACGCGCCAGTTCTGAGGTCGCCATCTTCACCGAGAAAATTAAAACAGAATTTTTTAGCGAGTAGCCTTATCGATGCTCAGAAATGTTTTTTTGGTTGAATGCAAGTAATTCTTACCTATTTTCATCATGCAATTCTATACTTTTACTTAATTTTTTCATTTCTCAGCTATTCTTCGCAATATTTTAATTCTCTTTCTTACTATCTACCCTTATTTTCTGGACCTCTCTTTTGAACTTTCATCAATAAGTTTCATCTCGTATTAAGTATTGAATCTATTCTTGATCAATCAAAAATTGAAATGAAACTAATCCCTTAAAATTACTATCAAAAGATTTCCACATCCTCGATACAAAAAATCATGATAATTCTCAAATGGTTACTAATCATTTATTTTCGTTTTAAGGGCAGAATATAAAATTTTAGATAATCTGTTCCGAAAATTGCAATTATGGAATTGGGCTTCTATAAATAATGCATTCGCCAATCAAGCATGCTACGAGAATTATTTCCCTCTCTAAATTTCAATATTACACTACTTTTGATCAAATAAAATGCATATGAAACACTTTTAATCAAATTAATTGCATTTGAAACACTTCTGATCAAATAAGAATTAGTCCTTTGGTACGGCGTAATTGCTGTGGATGTGTGTCCGTTCGACAAGAAACTCGACAGAAGAATGGCTGTCCCTCTCTGAACCCAACGACTACCCACGCCTCAATTGCTTAATTCAAAGATAGTGAACCTGTTTTTCTATGCCATGTAATCAATAAAGAACACTAGCTTGGTTAGATACGCATGCGCGCTGGGCTGTCCCTGCAACAGAGGCGCTGGCGTGGCTTACGTCTGGTCATGCAAAGCAGGCAACATGATGCCAGCTCCGGTGAATGCATTGCTCCACTATAAAGTTTTTCCAGCGAGTTATGTGACAATTTGTAAGAAAAATTGTACGGAGTTTCCAACAGTGCAATTTTTGCAGCTATATGCTTCAGCTATGCTTTTTTACAGCTGCTTTTACATGCTTTGCGAATATTTCAAGGGAAAAAGCTACGCAGGAACAGTATCATTTTCATGTCGAATTTGTTTTCATATTGGATAACTTGAAGCTATTTCGCTCCTGATTGTTTGTGCGAAGTTCAACGTGTACAGCAACCGAAGCAAGAACGATGGCACCTAACAATATCTGATGTATGATCTTCAAATATCAATATAGTTTTATTTCATATTTTCAGGGTTCGGACTGGTATTTAGAAAAAAAATTCCATGACTTTTCTATGGCTCTCCATGACCATCAATATAATTTTCCAAGACGTATACGACAGGTTTAGCATGACTGAAAGGCTAACCGAGCATATTCTATCATCTCACACAGTTGATAAATAGCAAACATGTATATGCATGGCTCTTCTGGAAAATGAAAAATCAAATTCCATGACTTTCCAGGTTTCCCATGACCGGTGCGAACCCTGTATTTTATTAATATTAATACAGCTAAAGCCGGAAGGTACGTAATCTTGAAAATTTATTATACTGATTTTAGCGCATTTCCAGGATCGATTCAGACGCTCACTTTTGTTTCAATCAAAATACACTTTCCGGTCGTGTTAAAAATATGTGAAAATGTTGACGGAATAAAAACCTCTCAGGACATTTCCCTGTATGCAGTAAAGGATGAATAAAATCCATTCATGATGAAATGAGTATCAACATTTTTAACATGATTTAATCTCTATATAGGTGACAATCGAATATTATAGGAGTGGAAATGAAGATTTGAATGAGATGGTAAGATTTCAGCCACCTAAAAGGAAAATTCAACTAGCAAATTCAGACAAAAATGAATATTTGCATTTCAGTTAGGCCGAGAAGTCGAAGTCCGATAAGTTGGTGAAAAAAAACACGGTTTACATCATCTTTTTCGAGTGAAGCCTAGAGAACGTACTATTCTTTTATACTTTTTATTAGTATACAAACTTTATGTATATTTCTAAATATATATTATATATGAAATAGAGTTAGCTATTTGGGGTAACAAAAACTCATGATTAGTTGGTTAAAGTCGTGAACAATTAAAATAAAATAAAAAAATCACAAAACTAAAATAAATATTCAAACGACCTAAACTGCGATGAAACATTACCATAATAAAAAAAAACTTATAACAGAATAGCCTTCCGACCATAAACAATTAAATCAGGACCGCAGCTACAAGATAAGTATCGCCTTAACACAAGTTAGGAGACAGCAGTTATCTCTGAACACATTCGTATTATCTTACACGCTCGGCTCGGGCGTCGAAAAATTCTTCGTAAAAATTATCCATAAACTTAACTGTGTTTCCTCTCGAGAAATGGTTGCTAACAAATTTAAGATATTTCGCGTGCATATTTTAACATCATTTATTCTTAACTAGAATGCGAATAATCACGAGTGTTGCACGATATTAATTTAATAGCCGTAGCAGTAAGCTTTATCTGAAAACAAGGTGCGCCCGCGTCAGATTCCAATGCCAATAAAGTGAGAACTTTTTATTGTGCAAAGCTTATTTTCTAGCAACAATACTCAGCTAGCAATTGTGCAGATATCAACGATTGAATCGTAAAAATAAATGACTTTGGTGTAAATAATGTATTAATTATTAACGTATTCTTGGAAGTATGAATTTTTTATTATAGAGGAAAATTTTCACGCAGGAATGTGATTGTCGTTCAGCCACATGCACGGCAGAGGGTGTGTGCTCGTCTAGAGTCCCGCTGGGACTGGTCGCGTCCTGTCGATGTCCACATGTCGCTGCAGTTCTGGGGACAGTTGGTTGTAGATCGCCTCGGGCACTTGGTCTGTTGGAAAAATCATTACATCATCATTACATTGCGTTACGTTATCATTACGTGAGCCACAATTTGCCGTAAAATTTCTCCAAGTTCGATAATCCATCTAATATTCAAAATGCAATTAACTCTAAAAGTATTAGCTATGCTGTGACACTAGATATTTTATTGTTGTATTTAGAAAATTCCCATATTACATCCAAAAAATCCCGTATTATTATTTTTATTTAGCTACAAGTTCGATTTTTTAGATGCAGCAGAAAATGTTTCTTCATTGACCAGGCAAAAGAAAATTCACTTACACAATTCTGTCTCTGCTCCCGTAATTCCCATTAAACTTCCATTTTCAAGACCATGGCTCACCATTGCATCTGTAGACGAGGTCAGACCAAATGATCATCTCTTGTGAGAAGCAGAAGACCCCAAGACGACCACCCTTGAGGGCGTTGTCGAAAACGTTACCGGAGTCAGCGACCATGTTCTCGCCCTCGAAGATGCGGAGTCTGATCAGACCAATGTTGGGTCTGTGGAGCAGCAGCCAGCGATAGGCGGTCTTTTCCTTCCATCCGACGTTACGAGGATCTTTCCAAAGTAGTTTTACCTGTACAAAAATATTAATATTCAATCGATCGTTATACTTAAGCAATCGCATATGAAATATTGTTTCAGCGGCAATTCTAAATCATCGAAACGAGGGATTGGATTGCGCTCGCACCTTGCTAAATTTGGAGATTTCCCCAAAAATAAATTTCTGCATTTTTAGTATTAGATTTACTATTGCAGGCAACAAAATTTTTCCTTCATAATTTTCAATTCAATAATATCCAAGGATAATTTAAAGACGCGTCTGAGAAACTGACAACAATCTCGTTTCGCTTACTTGTACCCTTAGTGCTTCAAAATAACAAATATGAATCTCTTTGCCCAAAGTTTCGCGGCACGACACTTCGAAATAATGAAATTGATCTTACAGTATCAAACCACAGCCTTTAAGAACCACGAGTAATAAATACCTGATTGTCGGTGTCACCGGTGTGCCATAAAGAGTTCCTCATCATCTGTCCAGGTCCAGAGTTGGACTCGACGAGCTTCAACTGAATGCCAGGCTCGGCCACGGCTCTGAACGGCGTCGCTTGCCAGTACGTCTGCGTGTTCTTCTTCCACATGACCGTGTAGAAGTTAGCGTTGTTCTGGTAACTGAAGAAAAGCGAATGAATTTTACCACAAACGAATGAATAAAATACCAAGTTAAAAAAGTTAAAAGTAATCATTATCGTCGCATCAGAAAAATATATACTCATTAATAACTACTTGAATTAAAGCTTTTGATTTGATAAATAACTTGGTCAGCCTCAAGACGAAAATTTTACCGTTCAACGAGACTGGACCCTTTCATAGTTAAACGAACCTGAAAATAAAGCCTACATAATCATCGTCGATATCGGTGTCAACGAAGAAGGTTCCTTCGAAATCCACTCCGCCGAACTTGTGGAAGCCTGTAGGGATCAATTTCAGTGAGCGTCAACAGCAGCTCGGCATTCGCAAGCAAATTAGGAAGATGCATATTTTTAAGATCATTATTTCTAATGCGAAATTGTTTTGCTCTTCAGGTTCGAGAGAGTATTCATAAATTTGTCAATTGAATTCATGCCGTTCCAGAGCACTCGCAGGATATATCACGTTAAAAATATTAAAGTGAAATAAATCGTAAGGTGAATACGTTTGTGTGAAAATAATGTTCGGTTCAAGGAAATATATATTACAGAATGTTTCGAACAAAATTGCTGCTCCTCGAATTTTGAATACAATTTACTTGTAAAAATTGTTATTTTTTTGAGTTTCCTGAGCTAAAAATTGTTGTTAAAATAAAGTTGCTGAAGAATTCGCTTAACTAAGCCTTGTTCTCACCAACAGCCAAACCAGGATCTGAGTTCATCGTTTGCACAATTTCAGCGCCGTTGTTGTAGATCACCCAGTTCGGGTCAATCTGTGAATCTCCCTCAGGATCCAACACCACAGTCTGGTAGGATCTGCAAAGAATCTCATTCAGAAGCAGTCCGAACGATTTATACTAAATTTTTGGAAGATTTCGTCATGATTAAAAGAAGTAATGAAACTAATCCCATTCTGAAACAATCCATACAAAACACTCCAGCAGGGATGCAACATTTCTCATCGGTTGCGCAGTTTCAAACAACCTACATGCATGGATGCATGTTTTAATCGTAAATGGATAATGGACGAATTTTGGAGTTGATAAAAAGTACCAATAATAATGTACATATCAGTAATTGTTTTTTCAATTATCATGTATAATCAGTAACTTTAGTTCTAAAGCAATAAGGTTTGATTTCCTAGAACTCCTTTCATTGTTGTTTGTTATTCTTTACATAAGTGGAATAAGAGCAATGAATATCTAAACAAACAAAGAATCGGAGCTCGGATTTTGGTCCAGAATTGGTGCCCTCTCATCCTAAAAATTGCAATATTCTTTGGAACGAACCTGAAATCAGTGGCATAAATTTTGGAGTTGTTGGGGCAGTTGTCCTTGAAATCAATGATGAGGTCGCCATCAAAATCTTTTTCGCAGCGATCCCCGATTCCGTTTTTGTTTTCGTCGCGCTGGTCTGGATTGAAGACAATCCAGCAATTGTCTTGCAGGTTGCTGACCTTGTCGCCGTCAGCGTCATCATCGCACAGGTCGCCCATACCATCGCTGTCAGCGTCGTGCTGGTCTGAGTTGGGGACGTCGATGCAGTTGTCTTGGTTGTCCTGGACGCCGTCGCTGCAAAGAAAGGAAAGTAGCGACAACTGTTTTAATTTTGTTATTGTTGAGCAAGTATTGCTAACAGTGCAGTTAATAGACACTGGGAGAAACGAAACTCCAATGAAGTTTTGAACACAAATGGCATACTTTATAATCAAATAAAATAGGGTTAAGAATAATCATAGACACTGAAATAATACCGAGAACAAATGAAATATAACCAAAAAACTAGAAGGACCTAAGATTGGTTGATAAATCAGTTTAGTTTGATAACGAATCTGTAATAAAAGCAAAGTTATGTTCTCACCGATCCCTGTCGATGTTGTTGTCGCATGCGTCGCCCACCAGGTCCTTGTCGAGGTCCTCTTGGTTGCGGTTCCTCACGAGCGGGCAGTTGTCGCAAGCGTCACCGAGGCCGTCGCCATCCTGGTCCCGCTGGTCCGAGTTGGCGATGCGGGGGCAGTTGTCGTCGACATCGTCGATACCTAAAATGAAGTGTAAAGTTTGACTGCGTTTAAAATGTTTAGGGATTAATTATTGGTATGGATCTGCTGCTACCAGATAGTTGCTGAATCGGCAGAAGCAGAACTCCGTGCTCATTTAATGTTGGCTATGTGAGCCTTGCTTTAAAAATGTGTTTTCTCATACACAGCTCATTATGAACTTATGCATTAATTTCTCTCGGGTGTTGTGCTACAGTTCTTGAGTGAAGCTGACCATCATTATCGTTATCACGATCGCAGGCGTCTCCGATTCCATCGCCATCGTTGTCCTCCTGGGCCAGGTTGGGCACAGTCGGGCAGTTGTCGCAGGCGTCGCCCTGGCGGTCGGCACCCGCAGGGTCCGTGTCCTCTTGTTCAGGGTTGGCCACAAGTGGACAGTTGTCCTATTAAACAGAAATTTCGTTAAGTGAAGAAACAATTTGCGTCTTGAATGCCATGATTATGCAGCATTATGCTAAAATTGGTAATCGAAAAAAGTAAATGAAAGCGTTTATACAAATCTAATTTGCTTTTCTTCGCCACTCTATTACTGGATCTATTGAAAATGATCGAGTGATAAGAGGATTTCGTGTACAACTATAGAGAAAAAATTGCACGAAAAAAAATAATTAAAAAAACGTGGCCGAGGTCGTACCGGGCCGTTGGGTACTCCATCGTTGTCTGCATCGTCATCACAGGCGTTGCCAATGTTGTCGCCGTCGGAATCCTCCTGGCCGGAGTTGGGCGTCTTGGGGCAGTTGTCCTTCCGGCATCGCGTGCTCAGACAGCTCGGGCCGAGGTCGTAGTCCGGCCACCCATCCAAATCGATGTCTGGACCACAGATCTTGCCGTCACCAGCCCAGCCAACTCGGCACTTTGTACGATAATTTCAATACATAAAATACAATTGACGCATTCAGTAAAATTCAATGACTAAACTCTTACGGTAAAAAGGGATCTTGAAAGCTTGTTAGAAAACTGTTATTTTCATAGGTCAAAAAAAAAATGGCCGCGTTAAATTAAACTCCTGAAATAAAGTATGACATTGCAATAAATTCTTTAGAGAAGTCGTTGAACATTTTGTCCTACAAAATTAAGTCTTAGGTTGAAACTTTTTCGTTCACAGTTAAAAATTTTCTCACAGTGGTGGATACCGGACAATGATGCTCATAAAGTTATTAATATTAAAGTAGTCAAATTGGACACGGGCAGAAATAGTAGAAATACAAGCGAAAAATCAGAGAAAAGATTCTTAACCGTGCAACTCTCTGCAACTCTTTACAAATCTCAAGCTCCCAACCCCCTACAAGTCGCTATCGTAAAACTCTTTACAACTCTCAATCGCTCAACTCTTAACTCTTAATAGCCAAACTTTTTATAGAGCAACTCTATACCCCAACTTTTAATTCCAAACTCTCTATACATTTTAAGCCCCCGTCTCTCTACAGCTTTTAATCCCCTAACTCTCTACAAGTTTTGATCCCCCAACTCTCTACAACTCATAATAACCCAACTCTCTGCAACTTTTAATCCCCAATTCGCTACAACTTTTAACCCCCCTAATTCTCTGCAAGTTTTAATCCCCCAACTCTCTACAACTATTAATTGCCCATCCTCTGAAACTCTTAATAGTCCCCTACTCGACAACAAACTGCGAGCTCGCACCACAATTCCTATCCTGAATTTCATGACCTACCTCGCAAATGTAGTAGTCGAGGCCGAAGGGTTTGACGCATTCGGCGTTGGCATCGCACTGAGTGCCATCAGGGCAGAGGCCAGGGCGGTTGTGGCATCCCGTGGACTGGTTACCGATGAAACCTGCAGCGCAGTCCCCGCAGTAGAAGCCTCCCTGTTACAAGTCCACGTAAACAATTTGATGAATGAACTCTTGGACTGAAAAATTCTTGAACCATAACTTCGGGGTAAAATCTTTTGAATATACTGAATTTACAATTTTATTTGAAAAATAGTTCAAATTTAACTGAAGTTCACTCAACAAGATGTGAAAGTAAATACCATAGATAAATAGGTGAGGGACCTAATTCTACAGAAAACCGTAATATACATTAAGCTCTTCTAATCATTCGATTCATCCAACCAGAGGACAATACAAAAACTTGAACACTATTTTAAAACCGTTCGAGGAAATTGCACACACAAGTGATAACAAATTCATCGCATAATGATACTATGAATAAATTGATTATAAAAAAGCAGTCAACAAATTTGCACGTCTTTATAGATAATAAACTTTCGTTTATAGGTAAAATTATTGTCATTAAGTTTCTTATCTTTCTCCAATATGTAAGTTCGACTTCAAATGTTCGAATTTAACAAATTCCGCATTTTCTACTGTCAATCTCATTTGATTATACACCGTAAGTTCTCGTGAAGAATAAATTTATACTGAATCGTTGCCTACCTCAGTGTTGACACAGATAGAGTTGTCGACACAGCCGCCATTCCTGCCATCGTTGCACTCGTTGATGTCGTAGCAGCGCTGCCTGTTGCTCATGGCGAACTCCAAGCCGATGCCCTGCAGGCCCTGCGAGCCCGTGTAGCCCTGCGGGCACGCGCTGCAGCGGAAACCTGGGGCCAGGTTCGTGCATCGCGCGCGCGGGTCGCAGGGCTCGGCCAGGTCACACTAGCAAGTGGAAGGAGTATTCATTGAGAAGGAGTATAGTATTCATTGAGAAGGAGTATAGTATTCATTGAGAAGGAGTATAGTATTCATTGAGAAGTCAAGTCTAGGAAAACTTATGGGAATTTTTTTAACTGTACAAGGAAATTTAGTCATGAGTTAGTGCTGAGGTATTCATCTAGCAATTGATAAATGTGGGCGACAATAAATTTAATGGGACTGCAAGCATGACCAATAAAATGTAGAGGTGTATTCTAAAATCGTGTCACGAATTGTAACGCATATTAAGTCGAAACTGTGTAAATGCCGATCATGCTCGATGAGGAGCAGTGTCTGTCTGTTAACATGTCAAAATTGCCAAATTTTAGCTGCAATTTTAGAGTGAAATAAAGTCTCTCACGGACAATTAATTGATTTGATTTGATTTGATTTGCAAATTACTTAAGAAAGCACAATTACAGGGATAAAGAATATATTTTTAATGACTCTCATCGTCTTTTTCAGGGTTTCAATGCTTCCTAGTATATTACAATGTTGTTTTTTAAAGTCAGAGAAAGTCGATCGAATTTGCGTAGGTGTTCATTAAAGAATTTAAGTTTGGGCGCACAGATAGCACTTATGTAACGACCATTGGTTTCGTACGAACTTGAACGAGTTCTTCTGTTCATGATGATGACTGCTAAACCCGTAAATTTTGATTGTTTTCGTGAAAAATATTTACATTTAAACTTGCCGTAGCATTAAGGGCTGTTAGTCACTTCACTCGATTCTAATAACATAACACAATTACCTCATCGATGTCCCGACACAAGGTCCCGTTGCCCGTGGACCCCGGCGGGCAGGGTCCGCAGCGATAATAGGGGTTAGAGTTAGTGCCCACGCACTGCACCCCAGGGAAGCAGGGGTTGGGGTTGCACGCGTCGATGGGGCTACATGTAACTCCGTCGCCGGTTTGACCAGCAGGGCAGTTGCCGCATCTGAAGCCATCAGGCATATCGAAGCACTGAACTCCTGAAACAGAAATTTATACTTTGAAAAAAGAACCAAATGTAGGACCTGAAATTAAAGGATCGGAAGAACCACTAGTAAAACAATAATATTACGCGAAAATAATGAGCGTTCATTCATAACTTTAATTTCAACCTGAATTCGTAATGCGTAAAGTTCAAAAATAAAGTAAAATGAACTAAAAAATTAACAATTCATTATGATGAGCTAAAACATTCATTAACTAAATCATGTAGGCCAAACTCGGAACGATCAGTGAGGCAACCATGATAGAGAAATCTAATATAAGAGATCTTCGAATTTCTGGCAGTTAATATTCAGAATAGTATGTAAGTTTTAAGCATAATTTCCAAAAATTTCGTCAGAATTTAAATGTTTTGTCGATTTTGTTGATTTGTCTGTAGTCCGTAAATAATTCCTATGCATTGGGTGTATCAGTATCGTGTTAACGAAATTTAAGATCAAAGTGAGCTTGAATTGCGGATGGCTGTTATGGATGTCGTTGACTCCAACTTATGTACAGTATATCACTCCCCTAAACTAGAACAAATGTCACATCGACCATACGGAAGATGTCTTCATAATTCTAGATATTCATCTGATAATTCTAATATATATTTTAAATAGAGTTCGAAATCACAGTTTTAACCATTCGCACATACACCAATGACCTTGAAAAATTCAATTTTAATTTGAATGTAAATAAGAAGATGAGATAGGATTAATCACTTAACTGACTGTATTAAAAGTCAAATGTTTCTACTTTTTTGACAACTGTATGTTATACCGGCAGTGCAATATCACAAAAATTATATGATAAAGATTTTAGCATAAATGTTATGCTAAAAAAATTCACTCAGCTATCAGACAAATTTTTAAATTAAAATAATTGTTTTACTAGCGAAATAAGATTTTTTTAGTGAAACTTATTATCTACAGATAATCCGAACCAATTTGCTGCAAACAACTCACCGGGAGCACAAGGTCTGTCCCGGCATGTCACTCCGGGCGCGCATTCTTGGCCATTGCCGATGAAGCCACGCGGGCACGGGCCGCAGCGAACGCTACCGTCGGCGGAGGGTATGCAAGTAACCCCGCGGAAGCACGGGTTGGGCTCACACGGGTTATCGTCTCCTGTCCCAAACACTAAATTGTAGCGAATAATACTTCAAAGTACCTACTTAAAAATCTTTTTATATGCGTCATAAGTTACTTTTAACTAAGCTAGAACAAATGCAGTTTATAGATTGTTCCGCGCAAGTGGCCTTGAATGACGAGTCACGTGCGTAGATAAAAGAAATTTTTCTGAATTTTCGTAGAGACAATAATTTGAGCACAGGGCAAAAGTTATTTTGAGACGATGCCATTCGAGAAAAACACGAACTGATTCGCAGTTTGGCGGAATTAAAAAAATGAAAAATTTACCGAAATTTGTTTTAGTCTTTTTTCCTGAACTCGACGTAGGAAAATCGCATTTGTGTACGTAATTTATGTTAATTATTTAAAATATGCCGGTTACTTTTACATGAGGTTATTCTATGAAAAGGAATTAAGTGATCTAAAGAGTATTAACGGCTTAGAATGTAACACCGACTGCTTGACCCGATAAATTGCATGCAGAAAAATTCGGTAGCGCTTCTTTGATTTCGTTTCAAATTTCATTCATCGTTATTCTTTGAACAGGTGCTCCATTTATACAAAGTTCAAGAATACACAAAACTTATCAATTTATCAATGAGATATTTCGACAATATCGTTCATGCCGATATCTGTAATATGGATTTGATTACAATTTTTTTCATTTCTTAGCATCCCATGATCAGAATTTTCCATGTTTACCACTTGAGCAAAATTATTCAAAAACATTTCTCGGCTGTAAGGCTGAACAAGAAAGTTTCACGAAAATGAGATTTATCATTTCATTATGCCTTGTTTGATTTAGTGGAAGTAAGTTTTCGCCACACAAAATCAATTTAGAACATAAATAAATAATCGCATGAACCTATAAGCTACGAGGATGTTGAACAAAAACGCAGGTTACTTTGAAGAGTTTACTGCAAACGCTGCACAACATCCTACGTAACTTACGGACCATGCAGCCCATGAGTGGCCCGTGCATCCATATGATCAATTCTAATATCGCCAACATTGAGCTAATTATCTTTAAATTTATCCGCAAACCTTGTATGTTTTATTTTTGTAGAAGTTACATGACAGAACAAAGTTCTTGAATAATTTTGGTAAATACCTAGCAACCAAAAAAATGTAGCAACACTTTATCGCCAACTAGGCAGGAACGCAAAATTTGTATTTAATGTTCTATTTAAGAGTAAACGAACAGAGCCCAGTATAGACACGTATTCACGCTGTGAATGAAAAATAAGAAATTCCATGCTTAGCATACGAGTTTGAGTTTTTTGTGTGTAAAATTTCAAACTTTGGTTAGTTGAAGAAATTAGTAATTGAATTGTCTATGGTAACTATAGCAAGCTTCACAATACACGGTTAGTTTGATTAATTTGCTTCAAGATAAGGTCTTACAAGCACTATTCTAAAATAAATAATTATTATTTCAAGCAAAACAAGTAATCAAAGCACTTATTGCAATAATATCAAGATAAAACACCACATCATCAAAGACTAGTTCGTGGCAGTCAAAAATTACAATTGTTCTCTTCTTATAAGGTGCTTATCGCACAAATGACTTTGGATAAAAAGCATAAAAAATCTAATAAAATATAATATTATACAACGATTATAAAAATAAAAGAAATTCGTACATCATTTTAATCAAATATAAACATATTTAATAGTTAATGAATTAATGAACTAATTTGCAAATTGCGCAGTCAGAATCTTGCAGAAATTTCGGAAATCAACCATACGTTTCATATCATAGCGATCCATTTAAGTAACGTGGCTGTTGTAACGAAGCACACCTAAACAAAGCTATACGATAATTGACTGAAAGTACGAAGAAGTTTTATGTTCTGTCAGCTAAGAACTAAAGTTCTCATTACGTACCATATTAAATGACTACACATTTTTCATTTAAAAGCTGATGCATTATTAAAAAATCCAACGAAAAATTTCAACACAATCCGTCATTTGAGGATACATAGTTTTAGGCGTAATTCTATGAAAGAACTGCTCGAGAATCGTCCCTCCTTTTTAATGAAGGATTAATTGATATAAAAAGAGCATGCACTGGATTAACAGTGGCCGCTAATGTAGCGATGGTCGGCCGCCTGTAGCGCGCCTATAATAGCTTATTTGTTGAGCGCCTACCAGGCTTGCAGGCCTCGCAGTTGAGGAGCGCGTCGCGCAGCAGCGCCGTCTCCTCGCGCTGCCCAAAACCGAGGAATTGAACAAAAATTACGGAGAAAACATTGTTCAAATAACTTGAACACATTATGACTCCACAAAATTACAAGAAATCTGTGGTATTTTTATAACGTAGATGAAATTTTCGAAAGAAAAAAATGCAGCCGTTAGAAAATTGAGCCGACATTTTGAAAGTTAAATAGTCCACTTTAAACAAAGTAACCAAAAATTATCGTCAACAATGAAAAAAGTATAAAATTATCCTCAATAAAATATTTATTTCTAATTCTAGTATTTGAAACAGGCTGAGGAACTTCCAAACCCCCTTTTTACCTGAGTTTGGATTTCGATCTGGAGTTCCTTGATGGTTTCGATGAGCTCGCTGAGCGTCTTGACAAGCACCGTACCTGCAGCAGCACCACAACCAGTCACCGACGGGGACATGGGTGTACAATTTACATGCTACTTCATAACTATCGAATTGAGCTAAGGTATAACATATGCTACGGTATGTTATTTGGTGGTAGAGATATATTTATTGTAGAGCGTTACTAAGCGTGTGAAAATTTATTAGGACCATGTCATTCATTCAAACAAAGTAATTAAATTACATTAAAGTAGCATCATGTTTGGAATATTACCTAAAATCTCTTGTTCTCAACGTTGATGCCTTGATTTACTTTAAAGTTATCCATCTCCTACTTAACCGATTTAGGCCTTTTTAACTTTAACTAATCCTACTAGAATTTGACCATCAAAAGCATTATAAATATGAAAGTTTTTGTTCCAACCTTCAATTGCCTTTAATTGGTACCAAAGCTTACTTGACAGTTTACACCCTGCAGTCTGGTCATACCTGCCTTAGGAATAAATTATTTCGGTAAGTTATTTTCACGCTCCCTCTGATTTGTTCATAAATTCTTGTTCGAATAGTCTTGCTAACATGTTGTGTTGTAAAGTTCATATTATGGCTTCCGTGCCAAGATCTTCCCACGAAAATGTTGGACTTATTTGATTATTTGCTTATACTCTGCATTGAAATTTTTAAATTATTTGATTGTCAATATTCTGTATACATCTTACAGAAACAAATGTACGTGCTATCCGAAGATCTGAATAAAACTCTTTGCAATGACTTGTGTTGAAAATTCGGCTGAGCCTAAGGAGATTAGATAAAATATTGAGATTAATTTATGTCTGAAAGTTTTAGAATTCACTCACCGCTCTCTTCTTCGTGCTGTACTGGGATATCACCTGCAAGAGCAGAAAATGAGAAAGATATTACGAAATAGACAAAATATTAACCGTTTTTGGACTCGTTACAGTTTAATTCTTCACAGAAGATAATTTATGCAAGATTTTATAATTGCAGTGCTGTTAGTAAACGAAAAAACAGGATTTTAAGAGTGAAGTCGTCAACGCTAGTCAGTGTGGGACTGTCGAGTAAGAACTGGCGCACAAAGGTAGTCAAGGACACCAAACGAATCAGTACAAGAAGTTCCTAAAAATCCAGCCACGTGCTCTGTGCAGAGAGATGTAAATTGAATACTAACGCTAAGCTAAGCATAATTTGTTTCAGGAACAGAAATAGATGTTCAAAGGCCTGAATTGAAAATTTAAAATCAAACCAAATCAACCGTGAATCGCCAAAATAGCTGTTTTGTCCAGGTCAGATTCGCAATTTGCTTTTTATGCAATAAATTTTTGTGATGAATTTTGCAGAGCCCTTGCGCTGCATGATTGAGTTGAGACTGTTATCACACTGGAATAATGTAGAGGCTATTCTTTACATGATCGAGTCTGACAAAAGGATTGAACTAATCTGTAAACCACTGAAATAGCTGCACTATAGGAGTGACAAGCTCCCAATCCAACTACGAAGGAAATGACTCAACTGACCTGGGAACCACTGAACCAGCTGTTCTTTGGGTCTGACAAGCTCCAGAGGCTCCCGATACATTGAGATTATGACTTGAGCGTCCGCATTGGAGGAATTAGAGTAGGTTCTCACAGCAGCGCGAGGTGTCCATGCGGCTCCCGTAGCTTTAAAGAAAGCATCATGCCTCAGAAAGAGAATTATTTTATTATTTGTTAGGGGTCTGGCAAAGTATCCGGACGAGAAGGTTGCACAGAGAGAGAAGGTTCAAAGCTAATTGGGAAGTAAAATTGACGAACAAGAATAGCTCGGTTTAAAACATCTCCAGATAGCGTCAACTGTCACATAATTATAAAACTGTCACGCCAAGTACCGTTACTTCTTAGTGTCATGCTGCCTTTACAAGTAGTCTCTTATGACATAGTTTTTATTCGGTTGTCTGAGTAAAACAAAGCATAGTGAAAAAGAAGCTAGACAGGTAAGATCAGGAAAAATGCAAACAGTTTTTAAAAATCGAAACAGGAGCAATGCAGCTACTATTGCTGTCTACGAGGGTCTTTTCCCATTCAATGTCTCTTACTATAATTTTTTTTTTCACGGGTGAATGACTGTTAAAATTTTCGCTATAGTTTGGTTGAGCTTTCGAAAAGAGTCAATATCTACTGTTGAAGCCGCGTTAAATTTCTCCGGAAATATGTTCTTTGAAAAAACTGTTGAAATTCGAACACGTATAACAAATTTCTCGATTTCAAGAATATGAAAAGTTCATGTTACTTTCATAACCAATTACCTTTTGCAAACCGTGCTCGAAAATTGTTAGTTATGTTAAAGAAGAGGCAACAGAAGTTAGCGGTGCTGAAGTCAATTTTGATACAGAAAAATCATGCAGCTGACATACAACGAAATATGCATTCCAATCAAATTCAGACATGCAACTTTGGGCGGCCTCCGTTCACAAGGAGTCGCAAGTTAACAAGTCTTCGGCATTAGTAAATCTCAACGCAGGAGGCCAGGCTGTCGAGGATGGCGTTACCTCTTTTTAAGGCTGCGACTGGCTCGAGAGGAGGCAGCTGGATGGGTTGTGTGAAAGTGGGACAAGGCTCTCCACGAAACCGAAGATTTTGACATCCGTCAGCTGACAGTAAAATAAAATAGGCTTTCAAACGGAATTCGGGCCACAACAGCGGCACCAGTGATAAATGCTGCTGACATGCCAACATTAACAAGCAATTGAAGTGCATAGCGGATTGGAGCACTCAATGACCACATTCAACAATCGCTTCATTCTTTGTGAAGTGTTTACCGTTTGATTAGTCATAAAGTAGGAAACAGGAAAAGTGCCAGAAGCAACCGCGAGATGCAACCGTAGTAACTTACATTATATGGCCAATGATATTAGTGTGGATGTTCGAAACTATACTGTTACCAGTATTCCCACTTGTCTCTCGTTATGAGAAAAAAATATATTTCCCCAAGTGCAAAGAATAAGATTATGATTTTTGCGATTTTCGATAAGAAAAATAAATATCTAGAAACAAAATATTACGCGTTGGTTAGAAGGACAACCGTTTGTAGAAAAAAACCCCGACCGCATGTGGGATGGCGTGAAGGTCGTTTAATCTGAGCTGACTTCATTAGACCAGACATGCGCTCATAATCCGGGTTTAAGAACGATGTTTCATGGGAACCTTATATAGATAGCATAACACAGCAAATTTAACAGTGTGGAACTGTAAACCATTAACATTTGTTTCAATTTTTGCAGGCATTTAAATTCATAGTAATTAAATTAGGCTACCTCCAAAGCCCCAAGCTAAAATTATGATAAACATGACAATCTAGGATTGTCACCGTTCAGCTCGCCCATCTGCATTAGTGAGGAAACCCAACGGGAAAACGTCAATATGGAAACATTGTCAGCAATGGATACATTTTTGATGATCGACTAGTGAATCATTGTAATATCTTCTCTTATTGATAATCGTGTAGCGATTTTATTTAGTATATTCGTTATAACAAAGTTATACAGAAAGAGTTGGAATGTCCGTCGGTCAGATTTAAAGAGGAAAATGTCGAATTTCCTTGCGAAACAGTAGGTAATTTCATCCAAACGTACGATCCAATAAAAGAAAACTCAAAAATAATACGCAAATAGGGCAAGCTAGACAAAGAGGTATATCTTCAACAGACATTAACTTGGATTCGTTAGTCTGAGTCGTACTTACCTTACGGTCACAAGCGCGAATTCTTTCAAATTTATTGTCGAGAAAGGCATTTCCATGAAGTTAACGTCTCACCTTCCAGTGATGAAACGTTGCAATATGTTTCTCGTATAAATAAATTCATTTGATTTTTACATCCGTGACTCTCTATGATCTCTTGTACTTTTGACTTGAAGCAACGATCCGCATCACATCGATTGTTGCAACTCAACTCTATTATCATTTGTTTTAAAATTCAGATAGGCCACCTCTAGTTAGGTTCCGGCTGACGTAACATCTTATTTACTATTACTTGTTACTTATTTACTTTCAATACGCAGGCAAGCTCACCTCTACGGTAGGTATAGACTTCATTTGACTGAGCCTGAATGTTGGGGTCGTTGGCTAGGGTAGCGTCGGTGCAGCCTAGTTTGCTGAGCAGGAACATCACCTCGACGTTCACGTCCACGGTCACGTCAGACTGACGACCCCGGCGCTACAAAGAAAATAATCTCCATCATCTAAGGGAGAATTACAAATTCTGCAGGCACTACAAATGTTCGTTTTATGAGAATAAGAACTAAATAAACCTTGTACATCGTCTAACATTAAACATTTGCATTGAAATCATCGCATATCACAATTAATATGAAGATGTTTCACCGAAACAAATCGTTCGGTGAGACGAGTTCACGAACTGAAGACAGTGGCCCGGCAAATACCGGCATCGGAATAGATCACCATGGTTTACCGTCATTACAAAATTTCACAAAAACAATAAATAAATGTTTTAAGTAAATTAATTTGAGGTAAAAAATGCACTCCCGACTTTACATAAAATCGCAGTAAGATATCGATATGTCTTGCGTTTGAAACCAGATCACACCGGAGGCAAAAGCGTGGTAAGGAATGTATGCGAGGCAAGCCTCTGCCTGCTAAGGCAATCAACTCGACTGCACTGCTCGGGTGCGACATTCAAACGCGCGCCTCCACCAAACGTTTAGTTGCGCTCATAAGAAGCAACTTTGCGTAGGTGAGGCATGCATGACATCAAGCACATGTTTAAAGATCGCATGAGTCGTGCCAAGCTTCTTGTTATTATCTAACGATTCAATAAGCATCAAGTGGTTTGCAAGAATCTTAAAATTTATCTTAAATTTTGATTATAAGTTAATTAAAAATATTTACTTTAAATTTAAACTAACTTCACAAATAATAAAATACATTAAATTGGATATGAGTCATGCTCAGATTTTTTTGTTCATAAAAAGAGTCAATACAGCCAGAGGTATCGAGGCTGCAATTGTCATCAGCTTCGCAGAAAAGATATTATCTTTCAGCACTGCGCTAGTGAATTACCACCAATCCTATACTTATTTATTTCAAGTGGTCACTCACAACGACGAGTTTTGAGTCTTCTTTCGCCATTTGTTTGGGCGTCATGGGCAGGTCGATGGTTCCTGCCCGACGGCACCCCACGTAGACGGTGGCCTGGCCTGACCCCTCCTGCTGCAGCTCCACAAGCAGCTGCTTCACCAGCAGCTTCGGCGTCACCTCCGACACCTTCAGGAGCTGTCGCTCCACCTCCCCGCCCATCACCGTCTCGAAGATCACTGAGGAACAATAAATTTAGGGTCACTTTTCGTGTTATATGATGGCGCAAATACCCAAAAGAAGGGCTTCCTACGTTTCCAATATTGTTACGGAATGAGACAGAGAAATTTTAAGATCAAATTTTAATATTGGGTTCTGACCTCCACGCCACACATGCCATGACGAAAATTTTAAATAGGGCAAGCTCTGAGAAGGTTGCGGATTTTCGTTAAAGTTCTTTGACGTTGAGATTACTTTAGAAAACATATATAGAAAACGCTTCAAAATAGAGTGCATAATGAGATTAATGTATACACAATTGAGTTGAAAGTACGAATACTCGTGTATTGGAAACACGTAAGAATTTGTAGTGTATCGAATGAAGTCAGAAATATTCAATGTTTCTTGGTTTTAAGACAAACCGTTCCAAATGGAAAATTCTTATTCATTTGGTTTCGAAAATTTATAAAAACCTAAATTCTTTTGGTATCGATAAATTTTTTTTGTTTCCACATTATAAAAATCTCAATTATTTTGGTTTCGACATTTATTAAAATTTTGAACTGGAGCTGAAACACAAATCCCTGTAAGTAAAACGTATTAATTTTGAAACATCTACATTATTAGAAAATGACATTGCTATTTTGGTGACAATAAATTCACGAACTCGAATGTTTTTGTGATGAGTGTCACGGGATATGAATGTACCCGGATCCTCGTCAAGCTGTAGACCTCAGCGCTGTGAAGTTAGCATTGTTTTCAACAGTGAAGGCCACAAACAAGAACAAGGACGAGGGACTCAATAATTTATTAGGACTCTCAGTGCATGCCTTCGTGACACTCAGACGACATCTGCGTAGTCGTGATCTCGATCATGAACTTGACCTTCATCTTCAACACTCAGCATCATACTTGTCTTCGAATGAACATTGCTGGCATTTCAATTAAATTGAAGGTATTTTTATTCTCTCCACATATATATATGAGATTTTATTTAATGATCTATATGATCTAACTGAATTCAATTAATTACGATTCAATTAAATGAACTTCACTTCCAACTTCATCTTTAAATGGTATCTTAGACCCTCCTTAAATTATTTGAATACGTTGGCCGCAATAAGATACATATAATTCTTTGAGCAGTAACGGGTGAATAGGAGAAAATTTATTATATTTTGAAATCCCTCATTGTTAAGTCACTGAAATTCAATCTAATTCGATCATACAATATTTTTCATTTGAACCTATTTTTTAGCTTCAAGTGAGCTTAAATCATAAAAAAATTAGATTTTAATATCAATTCGAGTCAAGATCAGTAGCAAACAATAGATTAAATTCCATAGAATGCATTACAAACTTCTGACTAATTTATAACATCTCTACTAATAAAGAGCACTCAAAGGGCTGCATTGCACGTGAACACATTGCTAGTACTTCAGGGGAACCTGTACTGGTCGTCCCACTTGAGTCCCAACGTACCTGGCCCCTGTTGCCGGTCCAGGACGATAAAGAACCTGTACTAGTCGTCCCTCTTGAATCCCAACGTACCTGATCTCTGTTGCCGGTCCAGGACGATAGAGAACCAGTACTGGTCGTCCCTCTTGAGTCCCAACGTACCTGACTCCTGTTGCCGGTCCAGGACGATGGAGAACCTGTACTAGTCGTCCCTCTTGAGTCTCAACGTACCTGGCCCCTGTTGCCGGTCCAGGACGATGGAGTCGTCCCTCTTGATTCCCAACTTACCTGACCCCTGTTGCCGGTCCAGGATGATGGAGAACCTGTGCTGGTCGTCCCTCTTGATTCCCAACTTACCTGACCCCTGTTGCCGGTCCAGGATGATGGAGAACCTGTGCTGGTCGTCCCTCTTGAGTCCCAACTTACCTGGCTCCTGTTGCCGGTCCAGGACGATGGTGAACCTATATGCTGGTCGTCCCTCTTGAGCCCCAACGTACCTGATCCCTGTTGCCGGTCCAGGACGATGGAGAACCTATGCTGGTCGTCCCTCTTGAGCCCCAACGTACCTGAAGCATGTTGCCGGTCCAGGACGATGGAGAACCTGTGCTGGTCGTCGAACTCGAGAGTGAGCAGATCCTGCGAGTCGGACAACGCGTTGCGTCGAGGAGGACGAATTTTGTTGAAGGAGAGCAGCAGTGAAGGCTCGCGCACGCTCACGCTCAGCGACCGCGTCAGAGCTGGCGTGGGATACAGCAAGAAATAATTAGCCTGTTTCAGTCAGTATTATGAGGTAAAAAACCTTTTACACTCGCTTTAGTATGCGTTGTTTTCTTGCGAAGAAGAGATTAAAGATCCGATAAGCGTCAACTTGGCTTTGCATAAACCATAAATGAAATGAGTATAATTTTAGAACTTTATGAAGCTAAAAACGAGTATATAAATACATAGTTAAAATTTCGAAAAGAAGTTACTTACTCAATGTGGTTCAATGGCACAAGGAGAACAATTTTTTCGATTATATTCCAAGTTTTGTTATAACTAAGTGTTATTTTAGGGTCACATATGAGTTTTAAATGATTGCGGCGGTAAAACTGATCTGCATGAAAGTGTTTGAAACGAATCATAACCAAACGTTAAAAAATGGTTTTAGTGCTCTTCTCTTTTCCGGAAATTAATGAATTTTAAATATTTTCATCTACGGTTATGACTTACTACAGTAATTTGATTCCTGAAGGGCTTTGGTGTCCTATCAACCATACTTGACGTTCAATATTTTTCGACGATGGCAGAAAAAAATTACAGTTGTTGTCACCGAATTTTAGTTCTCAGCCGGACACGTTAATTAACCACAACGGTAAAATTGTTGTGTTGTCTGCTCGTAGCAGCGCACCGACTTTCAGTGGGGGCGCAATACATTGAGTTCTGAACGCATATTTGGCCATGGCAGGGATTTGCGAGATAAGCGTGCAGGACGCAACTCCCACGGCAACCATGACTGCCTTCCTTAACTCGGTTTACCCGCAGTTTTCGGAGCGTCACGAGCCACCAACGCGTCTCAATTCGATTACAAGCTGCCGATTCTAGCAGTAAACTAACTCCAAGCTTTCTCAGATTCGTGCTAGTATTTTTGGGCCACCCTGCTCAATTTCTGCTCTACCAGCTGGGCGCTAAGTTAAAACACAAAAAGAATACTAAAAATTTAATTATACAATGAACCGGCGTCCAATAGATACATTGAATATGACATGTGGTCGAAATCAAATCAGTTTAGGCTTAAAAGACCAAATATTATTCAAATAATTTTAGGAATACATTTTTGCACTTTGTACGTTAATGAAATATAACCTAAACCTATAGAGTAATCTAACGCGGGGGGAAAAAGTATCTGAATTCCTTCCATCAACGAACTTTTAGGGACTCAAATCTGATCTTTATTGCACGTATATTGCGAGTTCTTCCTCTTGTGTAATATCATTATAATATTAGAAATTTATTTCGTTGCAGACCGTCGGGAATAATTTTTGTGCTTGCCCAGTGATAAGTTTTGAATTCAGTTTACGTTGTTTGCTGGAAACAAGGACGACGAGCTCCGCCTTAGTGCAGCGCAGGGATGCAGCGGAAGATCTTCCAATGAAGGAGCCGAGTGACAGCTGCGCTCTGCAGAGCCTCGTAATGAAGATGAAGCGATAGAATGGCGCACCAACACTCAATTTCGGTCAAGGAGTTTCGCATGGAGATTTCCCGAGAAAAATATCACCACAACTCTAGCAGAAAACAACGCAACGAACACAATGTGTATAATACGCTCCAAGTGTGGTGCGCCGTTCGTTTCTTGAGGATAAGTGAGTCAAATTATGTTATTAAAATGTCGACTTGATGCCGTAAACGAAAGGAAAGTAGTTATTGACAGATTTGTAACGAAAAAAAAAAAACACAGAGATGCCTGGGACATGGAATGAAGGAAAACTATATAATGAAAATGTATTAAGATAAAATAACTGAAATTAGGCTTCCAACTAAACAAACAAAAATGTATTGTAATAAGAAAAAAAACTAAACCAAGCTGCTCGACCTAGTATAGCTATGGAACAGAATTGGCAGACGTTGCGAGTTTTTGGTTTGTGTTTCTTGCAAAATTTAGCCATCTCGATTGGTTCATCAGGAGTCAGTGGCCTCTTATCCACATTTTTCTTGCACGTTGACTTCATCAGGACGGCAATTATTGAGTTGAAACATGCAAACGATGTCATCAGAGCGGCAATAAACTTCAAGATATCTTATGTAAGCGGCTAACGATTAGATTGGAGTGAGTGCGCTCTGAATAATGTCCCCTCTACTTCAATTGTGTGTGGGTGTAAACCGCTAGAAAAGGCGCAGGTGAATTTAGACTCCATGTTGTGGGCGACTTGTGTAAGAAATTTAGGCGACTCGTAGACGTGATGCATTTAAAGGCGAGTCCAGATTACTTTCATTGCTCTGCGTTGGTGTGAACCATAGATGTCGTGTGGTCATGGGTGATTGAGAACAGCAGTTATTTCAATTGTAAGCGTCAAGGTGGCAAAGATTTTAAACTGCTTTACGAGCCTTGCTTCCGTGAATAGCATATAGTTGCGTCACGGTTTTTACAGAAGCTTCTTTGGAGCCCTGCTTTTTGAAATTAATTGGAATAATTTGAATGCTAATTTACTTTCAGTTGTTTGCTTGGGAGCGATTACTATGTGACTCGACAGAGTTATCGAGGTAATGAATTCTTTGTACTTTTTACATCTCAGTCCGGATTTCATATTCAGGAATTAGTAAAGTAAAGTTATCGTATAATAAACAAATTTGTACACACCAAGTGAATGCGAAAGCAGAGCCCTTCAGGTGAACAATGTTTACGTATGTATATAGGTCCCTATCAACTGCAGGCTATTTTGATACGGACGAAACTTAGACGTACTTTTTTCTCATTCATTTAGGATGGAAGGCCAAGCTTTTCGGAAAGCTCCCTACAGGTGTCATAACATCAGCTGAACAAACTCTTTAATTTTTATAGTTACAGAACATCAGTTGTTGCGCTTATGCTGCATCGATTCATTTAGTCAAGTTGGGGGCGTCAATCAACTCGAGTTGCTCAAGAGCTTCAACTTGACACTTGCCAGGACAACATCTGGTGACATGATGTGATTGACAACCAGGTTGCGAGTTTTCATTACACTATAGTATATAGTATCGCGCAATTAAACATACAAAGGTCATGAGTTATTTCAATACCTATTCTCATGGCAGGTCGTTTAGTTTAGGAAGGCTCTCTTATTACATTATCTGAGTTTATTCTAATTTTTAAAAACAGTGAATAATGTCCTATTTCACTCATTAATTAGAAGCTGTCACAGAATGAACAGCAAGCCCTTTAAAAAACTTCGGTGACACGGCAATTAAAGATCGTTGACAGCGTGAAGAGCGCGTCACCAAGTCACAAATTACGTGACCAATTCGAGCATGTCAAGGCACAGCATCGTGTAGCTCCATTAACCGTCACAATTATAGACTGAGCACGGTAAGTTCTACAGAAATTGGGGAATTCCACCGCGCTTCACATTTAATAGACGATACTAGCTAGTTTCATTGATCAGTCGCTTGCGAGTGTACATTTACTACATTTTATTTCATCCCAAGTTCTTTAACTCTTCTCTACACGCAGGGTTCGATTTTCTAAATAATTATTTGATACAGTTCGAAATTAGTGTATCAAATTAGATGCGAAAATTAGTGGTCAAGACGTAAAAAAAGGTTGATGAAAAAAGTAATAAGATTTGGGGTTATGCTGTTCACAGGGTTCTGATTTGAGAAGAAAAATACAATAATAATGAAAGGGTTGCTAAGGGGAATAAAATTGAATGCGAAAGAAATAAATGTTATTATTAACAGCTCTGTAGTTTATCGACAACATGGATGTTTCACAATTCTTGGGCAAGCGCGGCAGGACGGACACTGCACAACATCGTTATTGGCCTCTCCCAAGCACACCTCTCAATTTTTGGCTTGCTTTAGATCGATGTAAAATGTGTAACTATAAATGACTAAATGTAATGGCTACATAACATGCGACCAATGGGCGTGGGTCGAGCTGCGCTGAACGGTCAACCCGACCGGGACCGGCTGCTTTCTACCTGCACTTATTGGCTACCGCGGGACGCCCACGCTCAAACTTGTCCCTGTGGAACCCACGGGTGGATTTGGGAGCGGACTGTAGGCGATGGATTTAAAACCGGCAGCGACTTTGGTTGGATTTAAATGAAGGATCTGTTTAAGAAGGAAACCGTGGGATAAAGGCTGCACCTCTACGAAGTTTCATAGGCGCTGGTACCCTACGGTAGTTGTTCCACCTATGTTTGTTGTTCTCGGACTGTTGTACGAGTACAAATCATGTGGTAATAACATTTGTGTGAATTTTTTGTGATTTGAACTCATTCATTTTTACGCACTGAATAGAAAATCTTTCGAAAGAGATATAATCTCCATTAGTAAGGTCAAAATAATATGCAAAATCAAGTTACACTCTCTATTTTCAAACGTCACATTGTTCGTTGACATGTGTGTTTGAAGACAATCCTGCACACACGAATATCACTGTCGTCTTCTATCTGTTAGTCTGTTGATGTGCATTTTGCTTTTCAGGCGACTGTAAACGTGTCATAAGATAAGTAATAGACTGTCGGATGACAAGTAAGACAATAGTTCTTCGGTGACTCTCACGGAATCATTCATGAAGTTATTTGATGGAAATGTACGATGCTTTATGGAGACTGAACATCCAGAACTTTCGCATGAATAGCAATCAATTGAATCCCCTAGGCTATGGCCTAATCTTGTTTAATCTGTTGTGCCTAGCAAACCTAATTTAACCGGTTACACTTGACTAACCAAACCTAACCTGCTAACCTTGCCTAGGCATTACCGAGCACTGCGGGTAACGCCTTAATTACCGGTAAGCGTATAAATTAAAATATTTTCTAAGCGCTTATTTGTTCATGTTCACTTCAATTGAAGAAGCCAACGACTAATGTTTTTATCAGGTAATAGTGAATTTTTAGAACAGCTAGTCATAAGCCCCAGTACTTACATACTGACATTTATTAATATAGGTAACGTACCACAACCAAAAAATACGTTATTATTTGATTGAAGCTGGTGGTTGAATGATAGAAAAAACTTATGACCGTAGATATATTATTTGTTTCTGTTTATATAGATAAATATTTCGTAAATATAAGGATTCCAATCAAAGTCACTTTGTCAATCCTTAAATTATGTTGATTTAAAATGTCTCAACAAAAAAGAAACTTGCATCACTAATAAAAAATGAAAACAGCAACGGTAAGTATTCGAACACCAACGTACGCCGGGAAATTTTGTCGAGCATCGGTTAGGATGAATTAAGTGGGTCAGGGCGGGCAGTAGTGGGTCAGGGCGGGCAGTAGTGGGTCAGGGCGGGCAGTAGTGGGTCAGGGCGGGCAGTTCTTGTGCCCAAGGTTGTGCGCGCGGTCAGGGCTGTATAGAGGAGGACGCTCTCTCGCGCGTGCAGCCGTCAGGTGCTGCATTCATCAATACTTAACAGGGAAGATATGAGCGAGGGAAAACTTCGAGCGAAACGTTAAGAAACTTCGATGTTTTGGCACGCAAAAAACAGTATTTTTTGATTTGGGAACTTACTTAGTTGTTTTATTAGATGTATATTTGTGAATGATACATGCATGGTAAGTGACACTTTTTGGCTTTAATCATAGTGGAATAATGGGTAATGAGTGTAAGTAAATTAACTCAATATACGTATACTGTCTAGAATACTTTTGAGAAGTAGAGGATACTTTTTGTCATGACAAGTCAAATGTTTGATGGAAAAATAATTACACGAGTTATTGAGAGAATAAATTAAAATTTTCTGGCAATTTATCTCAATTTGGAAGAAAATTTTAATAAAACATATCCAACCAAATACTCCACAATATTTAAAAAATTCAAAGAAATAGCTGCAACAAACAGATTTAGTACCGCAAGAACCTTATTGGACGTTTTTGGCTTAGCATCTTTTACGGATCCTCTATTGAGATGAAGTCAGTCTTGAAAAATCATCTCATACCTGACCTTTATACTCAAAAAATATTGCCACCTCTTCACGACGTCGTTCCTATTTCGGCACTTTTTGAAATGTTACAGTGATGATTGCAACATTTAGTGAACTAATTTCTCAACAGAGAATGATCTTTCACTTGATAATTTATTCTCGATCTCGGGAATAACAGTAGTTGTTCTCTGAGCAAGATTTGCCCGCGAAGCAAAAAAGTACCGCCATGTCTGTTAAGAGTTGCAGGTTCACAAGCATAAGCTGGCGCCAAGCGCACATGGCAGGGAGAGAGAGAGTCAGGCGCCAGGTGGCAGTTTGGTAGGGCATGAACTCTAACCTAGGTAACCTATAGGCTAATGTAGGAAGGTTAATTTTGACGCCAAACTAATTTATCATCACCAAAATATAAAATAACAATCAAGACGGTTGGTAAATTTTGGAAGCGTGGTTTTACTTTGAATGTTTAAAGATGTTCGTTTATGTGTCGTCATATTGACTGAATGAAATGAAGTGGTAAATAATTAACAGGCTGATTTAATATTGGAAACTTGACTTTAAAAACAGAAAAACTGTGAGCTTTAAACATATTTTACAATACCAAATGCTTCGTCAACGTACACGGCCCACGGCATATTGAACTTTTTAAAAATCTAATATCTAAAAAATCTAAATCTAAAATAAATGTATCATCAGAGCAGTAAATGTTCTCGGTGAACATCAGGTTATCTATGAGTCAGAGGTTATCTTGCTTCACAGTCGCAGGATATGCATATTATTTTGATAATTTGTAGCGCTCGTAAAGCCATAAGTTTAGTGACCATATTGCGCTGCTTTGTACGCATACGCTTGTTGCCTTACAAGGTGCGTGGCCTTCCAAGTGAATCACTTTCTCCTGAACGGGTGATCACCTCCCCAGTAAATAAAATTGCCGGAGATAAGTGCAAAATAAGAGCACATTAAAAACAGAATATGATTCATTTCATAGAACATATCAAGAGTTGTACGAGAATACCAGCCGCCAGTTGCATTTATTATTCATTATTCAGTTCATGAGATGAACAGCTGCATGTAGCGATTATGATTCACATCATATCAGGGCATCATGTCAGGGCAGGGTAGCCCAGTTGTTACAGTTCAGAGTACAAAGATTGGAGCGGGAGTTGTGGGCTCGAACCCAGCTACCTGCGACAGTTTTGGTAAAATCGACGAGGTGGCCTGGTGGTTAATTAAGCGCAACAAAATTGGAGCAGTGAGTTGCATGTTGCTGTGTGAATTATTTGATGACAAGCTGTGAGAATTATTTGATGTTCAGAACCGGCGATAGATTTAATGGTCAATTCACAGTTGTGGCCATACTACGTCACCGTTGTGACCAAACTATACGTTTACAAATCATGAACATTTTTCGAGAGCATCAGACTAAGCTTCTGCCAGATATGATCAAGGCTGCATGAGGCATGTCCATGCATGATGACATACGCGTTGAATACGTCCGTTAAATGAAATAGAATCAATATCTGGGCATGTGGGTGAAATCGCACTATTCAAGGCTGCTCCTAATAAAAGCTGCGTTGTTTTGTTAAATGCTCAGGCACGTTTCGCACCTCTCGATCGGGGTTTGATATTTTAGAACGATTCGTGATCGAGCACACCGCGCACCGAGTCAATTACAATTCCTGGTAATTACTATTTATTATTTCATGAAAAGTCGAAAAATTTTACAGCATGAAATTACATTTAATGTTTCAATAATTTTTTTATTAGCGCACTTTTTGTCGCATCAGAGTGTAGTGCGCTAATAGTGTAGGCCGCAGCATCTGAGAAAAAGAAGCTCCCACGATCATACATCAAGGCAGCCCGGATGTCTTCGGGTGTGCCGAGCTTCTTTGGTCGTAAGTAATGCATACAAACATGCGTGGGCCGCGAGCATTGCAGAGCAGCGGGCGTGATGACGCCGCCGCTGCGTGGCGTAGGATGCAATACGCGTGACTCTGAACCACGCTTCCGACGGGATGAGCGAGGCGCTGAGCGTGAGAAACTTGTTTATTCTCATGTACGGTATTTGAATTAATCGTAATAACAAAATAGCCTTGGCCACTTTCCATTAGGGGTCACAGTTGAATTTCGAAATGCTCCCTTGTGTTGGCTGCATTTAAAATAAGGAGCCAAGGGTTTCCCGATACTCAAAATGTGGATGCTATGTAATGTAATTTAGGATTATTTTCAAAAAATTGCAAGAATCGCGCAGTATAGCTATCATCCTCTGAGGAGATCGGAATACTCCACACAAAATTATTAATATAAAATTATTAATTAATTATGAAGTTAATATACGGTACTATATTATTATACTAAAAACTATTTATCATAACCTGAATGGAAGGCGAAATTCCAGGCCCTATATAAGGGAGTGTCAAGTTCACCGTGTTACAGAACAACGTTAATGCTTTCCAAACGCGTATATATAGCGCCCTTATCACGTCACGCTCTAGGCCAATCAATATCAATGAGAGTGCAATAAGTAAATAACTCCAGAAGGATTTTACGAATCATCAAATTCATGTACCTAATTCTTTCCAATACTCTTAAGTCGTCGAGTGAGACACGTTACAATCCGATGACGTGTTGCGTGACTAATCTACATATATAGGGAGGCTGCCAGACGTGAAAACGAGTTTATAGATGTGCCTTATAGAGCCACAATCAATTAATTATTTTTTTTCAGGATGCCCACGAATTCAGAATAAAGTAAGTGGGTAGTAAATAATTTTATAATAATCGTCAACATGTTTCATAAGTTGACCGCTAACACAGCGCGCACAAGAAATTTTAGTCGTCATGGCTATGCGCCAAAAAGTTTGATATAACTTCTGGGGCGTGATGGATTATATTGTTTAATGTGCATGCTGATCCAAAACACAATTAGCAGGCAATAAACAATCTTAATTGAAAATTGGTACACGCCTTGTGTGGTAGTTAAATTAGTCTTCAAAGCTAAGAAAAACTCGTCTGTGCCGTTTAGCTATTTTTTAGAGAAAATATGTCGTGTCGCTGTACTAATAGAAAAAATTGTTTTAAGAAAATCCTCGGAATTATAATTTCTGTAAAATTATTATTTTTATTTATTTATTTACCATTATAATAGGGATTTATTGCTTGACATATGAATTGACTATTTGTAATAACCGGACGTACGGTTTATCGATGAAAAATTCCAACCAATCGTTTATACATGTTTATGTAAAGGTACCTAGTTTAGACACCCAATAAAAATAATAGCCATTTAATTTAAATGTCAGAATGTGTGGTAATCAAGGAACTAAAATACAAAAAATCAACAAAACAATAACGAAACCGTTCAAAAATAATTTTCGTAGCTTTTAACATACCCCGACGGCAAGGCTCTCCGCGCAGCGTGTGAAGTCATAAAGCCTTTACTGTCCATCAAGACGAATTACTGCTCTTGGATTGCGACATGAACACCGGACAGTAGAAGCTACAACAGATCCTGCTGCTTCCTCGGGAGTTTTCAAGCAGAAGTGTTTGCACTCAGAAAAATAAATGGATCATATTGTCCAAATGGTGACACACTGTCCTACCCAATGTACGAACAAAGAGAGGACACTGATACGCCCTGTTGCAGAGTCATATTGAGTGACGGTGACCCATACAATGGCAAAAGGTGCGTCATTATTTGCACAAAGTTTCACTCATATCTCTGCGTGCATGCTGAGATGAAGCTTGGTCATAGACCGACTAGGCGCGGCGTAGTCTGTGGGGCTTGGACCAAACTGCCAACGACTTGGTTTTAAGCCTTTGCGATTCAAGTTTTTTCTAAACTATCGGATAGTCGTAGACAGGAATCCACGAAAAAAATTAGCAGAAAAATTTACTAAGCAATAATTGGGATTAAATTGACTCTCAAGCAATCTGAAAATAATTCAATCATTAAGTTTTAGATTTATCCCCTCAAAAAACGAGTAAACTGTTCAGTGGCGCAAAAATCGAACCTAATCCAGTATTTGCAATATCAAAACTGCAATGTGTGATACTTCATTTCAGTTAAGGCTACAATGACACTCATAACTCGCGGTTATAATTCTTACCTTCATCAAGATTAGCAGACACGCACGTGGCAAGCACAATGATGAGCGAGATCAGAAGGGACTTCATGATGCCGAATTCAAGACGAACAAATTCTAGACAAATTTTGATCTCCAAGTTACGTACAACTAGTTAGAACATGAAACAATATCATTTGCTTACGTTGGATGACTTATCATGTTTTCGCCTATTCAATGCTTTGAATACAGTTTATTCTAGATGAGTCAATTGTTGCACTAACACTCCTTGTTCTTCGGTCGGTTCCAGCTCCAACGGAGCCACGCGCTGCACCGACCTCGTGCGAGCTCAAACCGCAGAGTAATGAACGATCGACGACGGCCACCGAATGAAGGTCTTCGGTGTCCTTCATTCAACATAATTCTTCTCGAGTTCTGTTGTTGGACCTTGCGACCTGACTCCCACCATCATGCCTTGCATGCTTTCGACTTTTGGTGCGTACTGGTTCAATTCAGATTGTTGCAGAGCATCACTTGCCACGTGATAGTCTTATTTATGAATTTCTTCCATTTTAGTTAGTAAAGTTTTAGTTTTCATTTTATAGAGATATTTTTACAAGAGCAATTATCCAGATTATCAACAAAAATTGAACAAAAAAGTGTTAGAATTTCTTATAATAATTTCAAATTTTCTTTAACTGCTAAAGTTCGGCGTATTCCTAAGTGTCAAGTCGATTTCAGCTCTAATTCGTATGTTGTTCACATGATCAGCTGCTTGCACACCTTAGAATTAACTAAAAATAGAGAAGAACGCACATCCTTGTATAAAGTCAGTATCCTGGTATTCAAAGAGTGATAGAGCGCCAGCTAGAATAGCAAATCAGCGGCGTTAATGCGCTGCCTCAAAGCAACGGCGAGCAAATTCTGAAACCAACAGAAATTGGGAATAACGACTCTAATATGTTGTATCAGATATTATCTTTTATATTTCCTTATCTCTCATATAGATTTGCTTTCTGACAATTACTCACAGGCTCCCATTAAGCCCACTCAAAGTGATATGTATTCTCAAAACATGGTTGGTGGTCACCAAGGAGGTCGTCGGTGAAGGCGTAACTCGGGTCGCAAAGGTTAGGTAGATAGGATACCTGCTTGTGTCCCTTTCTGATGGGCGTCAGCTGGCTTGCTTTGGTAGCTTGATATTCCAGTGAGAGGGAGAGAGAGATCTTATCACATGATACCAGGCGGGGCTTGCTCTATAGTTCCCCAATATAGAAGTGTTTCTCTGAAACTATTTTAAGGCAACAGGTCAATGTATACGTGATGTTGGGACAAAGATTTTTTATTGGGCACATTTGTAAACAAAGCTCTGGATCAAGACAAAAATTTTTTGTCCATTTTATGATATTATTATTAATTATATAATACTGTTATAGTCACATATTAGTGACATCATCAGCCAATCAAAGCAGATCTTGCAAATATATATACATGCATTAAACTTAAAATCAGAAGATTACAAAGCGTGCACGCAGAATCACTTGCATTAATTTGCTGTCTAATCCATTGTGAGTACGGTTTCTGTACCTATGTATATCATATTATTCATATACATAAGGTTCGGAAAAATTGGTCTGAAAAACAAGTATAAATAATTTTATACATCTACCACCTGCATATACTTTCAATTAAAAAAATTCTCGATCGACTGCTAGGGTAGTGAAGTGGATTACCACAACTAAATTCAGGTGAAAATCTACATCGCACTCAACCTGTAACGATTATTTATCTAATTCAAAATTGATAATTTCCAGACTCTAATTAGAATTGAGTTGGCATTTATGAGCCAATTCTTATAATACAACATATAAATAATATTTTTTTAATAATCAGCACGCTAAATCTAACTTGATATGAATTTATGTTCAACTGTTAATTGACAGTGTTCTAAAAGTTAACATGGCCAGCGAAAGCCTTTTTTTATACAATATAATGTATTGAAATTTTAGCTTCTAATCATCCAAGTTACTTATTTAAATCCTCTTTAAGAGTCATTTTTTCGGCTAGAAATTCTTTAGATGCAAAATTTAACGACTAACAGTGTTATTTTTGTATTTGAAATTATTGGCCAAACTTGAGATTTGCCGGACCAAATATTGTAAAGACGTCCAGCTGTTTGTTCAATAAGCGGATTAGAGAACTAATCCGCGATTCATGTTTCGTCGTCATCAGTGTTGAAAAAATGTCATCTCAAAGTGTTTTCTCTCGTAATCTACCGGTTGTGAAACAATCTTTAATAGCAGTAATCGGTAACACTGGATTGTTTTTAAAGTTTGTGTGTATATTAGTCATCATTGGTCATGCTCTGTCTTATTCAGATAGTGCAATAGACGCCCTCAGTGTAACACCAGGATATCTACTGCCACCGACATTTTGGCTCTGGACTGCATTTACTCATTGCTTTTTGGAAGTGCGTCTGTGGCAAGTTTGCGTTGACCTCATCACTCTCGGACTCTGTGGAAAACTGATAGAGCCATTATGGGGAAGCTACGAGATGATACTTTTCTTATTGTTGGTCAACATATCTGTTGCCTTCATATCAACACTCTTTTACCTCATCCTTTACATCTGCACATCAGACCCAGTGGTCTTATTTGAAGTGCATATTCATGGCATGGCAGGATATATTGCTGGACTCTCTGTTGCTGTGAAACAAATTATGCCAGACCATGTACTTTTTCACACAAGAACTCCACTGGGTAAAGTTACAAACAGACATGTTCCTCTACTGCTTTTCATCACATCTATAGTTTTATACATCAGCGGTTTGTTGGAGGGTCTGTATGCTACCATGATTGGCTGTGGCATTGCTGTGTCATGGACTTACCTTCGGTTTTATCAAGTGCACTCAAATGGTACCAGAGGAGACTTGGCAGAAAGTTTCACATTTGCCAGGTGATTGTTTTAATAATGATACTCTCTTCCATTTTCTTTAGTTATAATTCATATAATTTTATTTGTAACAATTACAATGCAATATAAAAGGCAGGAAAATATCTGTAACCATTGTATATAACTTTAATTTTGCTCATATATTAAATATATATATATATATATATATATTCCATGGCCCATGCATGATTGTTTCTGGAATTTTTAATATTGTCTGTATAGTGTAGCTATATAATTAATTGGATGTATAAGCACTTGTGTCTCTGTAAAATACTGGCTAAACAGCTAATGATTGTAAAATGTACTTCAATTTTTATACCTCAATTAATTTTTTTAATTACAACTATAAAAATAATTGTATAATTGTATGTTAAAAACTTAAAATGGAGGAAAAGTTTATAAACAAACGTATATATTTCTGTCTTAACAGGACTGGAAATTTCATTCCTTGCCAGAAATGCTAATTTTTGTTCTTCTGATAGATTTTGTTGAGCATACTACAACAGATTTAGGAAGAATATCTATATCTTATTTTTCTTATATGTTTATTTTTTATGCATCCTATGGAATTGGTTGCAATTTTTTACTGCCTTTCCCTCCTGCAGAGTTTGTTAACAGGCATATGAATCCATCTAATTTTGCATCTTGTATAAAATTTCATATATTCAATTTTTCAGACAAAAGGATACATGTTTAACTGATCTCAGTTGATGTCTTATCATGTCTATCCTGTATCATGTATGTATACTTTATTGAAGAAGAACATGTTCCTGATCAATAGTTCAGGAAAAATATCCACAAAAACACGCTAATGGGTTAAGGTTCACCTGCATCATTTAGATTTTTGAGTGGCAAGCATATAAATGACCTTCAAAGTTGCGGTATATACTTGTATCAAGTTGTATGAAAATGATATCTCTAGTAATTTTTTATGTGAATATTCTAAAAATTACAGCCAACAAATAGTAAATTAATTTTACAAATTTGTGCAGTTTCTTTCCTACTGTTGCACAACCGGCAGTATCAGTGCTCTCCAATGGATTCTTCAGATTTCTGGTCAAGCTTAGGCTTTGCCGAAAGGCTGTCAGGCGATATGATGTGGGAGCACCATCTGCCATTGCTATTTCTCTACCAGGGATGACTTCTTCAGATGCTGACCGTAGAAGGTTTTTATTAGTAGTTTAAGTTTAATTAATCACCTGACAAAACAAAGGTTTAAGATGGACATTCACCTATTGTTTGGTGATGTTAAGAGACATTTATTAATCAATCTTTCACTCCTCTCAGAGTAACATTGTACTTCTTCTATCTTGTTTGTTCAATTTTATTGATGCTAATTTTTTTTAATTTGTAAAATAGATTGAGGATGAGTAAACATAATGAAAGTTTAGTTTTTTTATTTATATTTACTTGCAATTTTTTTGTCTTCAATGTTTAAAATGAAATCAATTGTGAAGCAGATTGTTGGATGTTGGATAGGTACATTTAAGGTTTTTTACATTTGAAATTAACTTCGTCTGATATGACTTTACCAAATTTGTTCAGAAATTAATACATTTCTAATTTTCAGGCAAAAAGCACTGAGACTATTGAGTGAACGTCTGAACCAGCAGCAAGCACCAAAAATTACTGGTGAAGAAGCATGGCCACTGTTGGATGAAGCTTCAGGAGGAGGTGACAGCAGCATCCCTACATCAATGTCCTTACCTCCTACCCACACAACTGGTATAAACAAGTCTGTGAACATCACCATCCCTACACAGGCTCCAGTCACCCTTGCCACATCACAGCCTCAAGACAAAGTTGTCAATATTGATGTGTAAAAATTGTACACATATATATGTTGTTTCTTCAATGCAGTGAGATGTGCTGTGGAGAGTAATATTTTGTTGATTTCCTCTCATCTTTTCTTATTCATGTCTTAACTAGTTGAATAAAACCTGATAATTCTATGTTCAATGAATGTTGTTGGGTTCTTCATTTCTGATAGGAATATAATTTTACCTCTAGTATCAGTCACTGGCATTATAATGGAAAGCTCAAAATGAGCAAAGAGAACACTCTATGACTGCTCTGGTGCTGTGTTTTTTATTCTCACCTGCACATCAGCATCAGCTTAGCTTGTGGACTAAAGTAATTACATTTATAAAGTGTCTAGTGAGACGTTATTCTGCAGCCTGGTGTACATTCAGAGTATAGGGAATGAGCTTTTTTCTAGTTCAAATATTTGATAATGAGTACCGGTAATTGGTTATTCTGCCTTCTAGTTTATTTTGATTGTTCAAAATTTTTATATACCATATTTTAAATCGTTTAAATCAGGTATTGAGGCACTTTGATTTTATTTTATTGAATACGAATCAAATCCTCATATGGAAATTAATTATTTTTACAGATCATTTTTGAATCTATGTTGGCTGTTGCATTATTAATCATAAGTTTTTGTTCTTAACAACTTGAATTTTGATGCCTTCTAAATACTGAGTTTTCTGTCTTGATGCAAATATTGCATCGTTTTAATACTGCGAATAACGATCATTTTTGCTTTGAAATATTAGTGACATTCTCCGCCACTAACAACTCATTTCCTGTTAGTATTTTCAACAATCATTTTGTTGGATATATTCATTTGTCTGAAAAACGTTCTATCTTCACAACATTGGTCATTACTTGCGCACACTGAGGAACAGTTGAAACTTCACCAGTAAATGCGCACTATTCACTTTCAAAGCTGCATTGCTACACCTTTAACAGATCCATTTTCTGTCATACATTTTTCAATATTGTGCATCAGTTTGCTCACTTTTATTTATCAACTTTATTGGGGCATATCTATTCGTATTTTGTTGTTGAATTTATGATTGGGTTTATTTTTTTAACTTTGTGACCAAGAATGGTTAGGTTACTGTTTGTCATAGCTCTTGTTGACACGCAAGATACGTTTTTGCGCAAAAATCCTCTTAAACATTTCTTGATTGCTGGTGCATTTATGGCCCTGGTATTCTTCGCTGCTGAATGAAGAAGTAAGTGGAATTGAAATATTTCACATTTCAATTATAACTCCTCAAACTATTTTAATACGGTAGGTATAATCACGTAATGGATGTATAAATGGAGAGAAATAGATCGAGACTTTTCACTATTTGCTTGTAGATTCAGCCATCAAAGCCACGTAGAGGTTGATGTTCTTGTAGACTGCGCAGGATTAGACCAATTCTGTTACTGTCTTTGTTGTGCGTAAATGTCATGGAACCTGTTTTACCTTACATCTTTAAATTACTTAGAATTTTTTTATTTCTAAACTAATGTGAGAAGGTTATTGAAAGATGCTTCAAGACAAGGTACATTAATTTATTTGGTCCTTTATTTCTTGCACATAAACAATCTTTCGTTTGTTCAATTTTTATGGATTTTATTAGTTTGTGCTGAAGACAGCAGAATTTTTCCATTTATGATATCATGGATCGTTATGCGTATTTGGTGCTGCATATGTCTGAAGAAGTTGATTTTTTTTGTTGGCTGGCCTAAAAATCACGAATCTTTTGGGTTCTGGGAACAGTCTTTCATCGTCTACACCTGGGTTCGTAATGAAATTACAAGTGATACATATAGATTTTTCGTCTATCATGAGTGAGGAATTGAAATGTCATCACTCTGTGTGTCGTGATATTACTTCATCACCTGACTACCTGTATTTCATTATAGGCGCTTACAGTTTATCTCATTAATAAAACAAATGCATTGTTCAGAAATGTCATTAGCTTGCATAATGCATCTAGTTGAAATGGCTCGAAAATCCACACTCGAATTTGCATTGACATATTTAACCTGAGTTCATAGTGTAGAATCCACAACCAACTATTTTTCTGGACACCATAGAGTGGCCAGTGGGCTTGAACCTTTTTTTGCTGCAGGTGTACTGGGAATATTTTTGCTCGATAAAATATTTCACGAATTTGTCTGACACAGAAGTTAAAATCGAGAAGTGATTTGATTTCGTTTCAGTCACCATCTTGAAGGAATACATTTTTTAACCGTTCATAACAAGCATAATGTTGTGTCATCCGATGCTATCAGATAAGACGTTTGCTTTTTAATAAATATGGCACGGGCGGATTTTCTAGATTGATGTTATTGTTTATATATACAACTAGAAATGTACCGATCAAATAAAATATGTTCCATTTCCTAGACGTTATTATTGTCGCCCCATGACATGAAACTTAGTTTACTTTCAATTCATATTTGTTCACATAATATTCTGACACTCCATTCCATGTTCAACATGGTTATGCATTTAAAACTGAGGTAACAATTTCTGTAACCACAGACAGAAATTTGCTGAGGAAAGTCGTACTATAATCCAATACAAATAATCTTGGAATCGAGGATGTAGGATTTTCAAACAAACCAGATTAGATATCATTGTCTGCGTGTAATACTTCATTAGATACGACAAATAGAATTTGGAGTGAGGTGTTTTATTAAACTAAAAATTTCATAAACTCTGGTCTTTAAGTTATAGACATGTGAATGCAAATAGAATTTATACTTGTTACATTGAAGTATTCACTGAATTAAATCAGTACCTATTTCATCTCAAAGACACATCCTTGAGAGCTTGTGTCAGTTCATCTTCCTTAGCACGAGCCTTTTTCAACTTCGATTTCTCTATGAGCTCTCCAAAATGAGCACCTTTGTAGTCGGGTTTGGGCCCACGTTTCCAGAAGAGCTTATCTTCGATAGGAAACCTACCAGGATGGAAGACAATAACAGCTGTATCTTCAAAGCTATCCATACCCTTGTTGAGGGATGGTAAGGCTATTACCTCGCACATGTCACGTTCCAAACTGTCGCAAATAAATCTGTACATTGATTTAAAGGTAGAATCGCACTCGGCCTCGGCTTTGTTTTGAATATTATTGCCAACAAAAACCACATTTGCTAACCTCTTGGGTGTCCAGTTGGCCCAGAGAACATTGTTGTACATAGCCCAACAGCAGTGAGGCATGTAGAATATCGTTCTCTCATTCACTGCTCTAAGACACTCTTCATTTTTTCCCAAGACAAATAATTTATAGTTATCAAAAAGCTTCTTATCATTTGCTTCGAAGACGGGATCATACAAAAAAACATTGGGGCACTTGAGAGCTTGGATAAGTTGTAGCAGCACGGCTAGCTGCGCGCGGGAGTTTCTGTTGCTGGAAGGAGACCCCAGACCATAGCAAATGATCTGCTTTGCCAACATCTCCCCTGAAACATGGAGACACAGACTCGAGATTTATCAGCACTCAAAGTTTTCTGTTCCATTGTATACAAATAGCACGGAGTGAAGTTTTCTGATTTATTCTAAGTATGCCAGGGAAGTTCCAATTCTGATAACTTCCTCAAACCTAGGTAATGAATTCATCAAAGATTGAAACTAATACCGTGAATGCAAATAAATACTACGAAATAATTATGTTTTCTGGAATAGTTCTTGAATTCTGACTATGAAAATAAGTAAAAATTTATTCATCATTTGTCCGAGTATATGTTTGAGGCCTGGGAATGGACATACCTACCTATATAGGTGATTTTCAGATGCATACCTATCCATGATACATATATATATATATATATAATAATTATTGGTAATTATAATGAATTAAAAAAAGTATATGATAATTATAATGCTGCTCGATTGTTATATAATTATAATTATATACTTTTGAGATTATTATCCAATTGAAATTTCATGATATCCTTATTAAATTAGAAATTAATATAGGAATTTAATTTTTATTTTAAGTTCTAGAATAACATGTCATTGCTATGTCAATTTTATAGATCATGAAAATTCTATTGGAAAAAAATTAGTTTGTTATATTCATGCTAATGTGGATTTGAATGAATCTTTATTTAAGTAATGTACTTTTGTGTTGAAATTAAATATTGCTGGATTTGGGAAGACACAATTCAGGATGACTGGCTTCATGAGAGAGATTCTCAAATTAGGTGGGATAATTGATCCAAGATCACACTGGGTTAAGTGGCCAGTTCTAAAGATACCAGGAAATCAAAGAACAATGACTGGTATATTAATTGAGAATATGTCTAAATTGATTGAAAAAATTTATTCCAGGAAAATATTGACAATAAGCTTGTATGTAATTGAGTCATACCATTGGAAGTAGAGTGCAAGTCTTGCATTGTTGCTGCCTCCACTATGGTGTTGCAAACCATCAAGTCAATAGTGTGGGATAGATGATCCACATTACTGAAATGAAAGAATTAATTAGAATGAATGAAATAATAAGGCACATAACAACAGATGATAACAAAATAGAAAATAGTTAGTTCCCTTATTGGTAAAATTTGTAATTATTACCAAATGTTTGGAAAAGCATCACTTATTTTGAATCAGAATTTCACCAAGGGATACACACTTGTGCTAGTTAAACATGTATTAATCATTTGGTCATTTTTTCCCAACTGTACCATATATCATTATTGCAAGCAAGTTAAAAACTACCTCTAAGAGATTTTACAAGCAGCTGACAAGATCTCACCTGATCAGTTTGTCAATTGGAAGGCCATGATTTAGAACCAAGGGCTTGATGTTACCACTTTTAGGATTAAACTTCTTTCTTCTTTTGTTTTTAACATAGATGAATGGCTGATCATCTTCTAATCTAGACATGATATGTAAAAAATGCCAATTTACCTGAAAAAATTAAAAAAAAAGGTTAAGTTCAATAATGGTAAAGTTTTTCACTCTGAAGGTCAGTGAGATTTCAGATTCCTAGGCCGTTTTGTTCAACCTAAAACCAGAAATAATAGTATGATAAGAACCTATGCTATTATTGTGCCAGGACTTATTGATGAAAATCTTTTACAAATGCATTATTTATGTGAGAATTTAAATTACTTGGAAAGTGAGATTATAGAGAAATTGAACTGTGATCTGCCTAAATTTAATACAAGCTTTAGACTGATCAAGGTTCAAGAGCTGGCTTCAGAGTTTAGACTGTGTTAAATTTAGTTCATCTAATTAGAAATATATCTCAACAAAAATATTTTACATCAGTAAGACCTTAAGCATAGCTTCAATTTAGTTTTAGGAGAAAAAAAGACAAATATAAATTCATCATTTTATTTTGAAATTTAATCAATAGTAAAAATTTCAGCAATAATTTTGAGATTAAACATCATCCAACTAGATGTTTGGTATGCATGAAGTTGGTCTATTTCAAAGTGGAATGTACAAATGAAAAAAAGGCATAAGTTGCATCAACTTGTTAAGTGTCAGTGAAAAATTGTCTGCAATCATGGGCATTTTTGTCCAATTGGCAGGCGGATTCTTCACAATTTTCCAGTTTCGGAGGCACCGCTGCATGATGTTGCAAGACTACAATTGTGCAGCCACAGATAATGCTAATGGCGGAATTGAATGTATGCATGGTCAGACAAACGGTCATCCATAGCCATGTGGCGGCAGGATATTATTCTATTGAAACGTTTGAACTTTTGAAGACACTGGACTAGGTATATACAATAAACAGTCATTAATACAAGTACAAAGATTGGTGTAGTTTGGCAGAAGCTTTTCTTTGATGCAAGTTTGATTAAAGACTAGAGTATGCTTTTCATTACCCATCTTATTTATTTTTCAGTGAGTCAAAGAAAATTTCTTACTGGCACTGGGAAATCAAAGAGCAGGTTACAAAATGACACTTTAATGGAAGGCACAATTTTGAATATACAATATTCATTATCAAGCAGGTGAATGGTTTTGCAACACTTTGAATTGAATTTTTGGAAATGACAGTAATACAAATCAAGGGTATTATCATACAGTTTGAAATTCAAGCTTAAAATTACTCTGAAAATTACTTATTCAGCAACTGGAGGAATCCCGTAGTTTAAAGGTTGATACGTAGCTGGAGACTTGCTCTTGATAATGAGGGACTCAGCTGTTGCCTGTCTTGAAGCATCAGGCCACCGCGTAACTATGCTGGTGCAGGCCTCAACGTTGCTTGGGTGATGGTCTCATTGTGATTCTTGTCCTGCAGCGATTCTTGTCTGCATGTGATTCTTAGGTCCTGCAGATTTTAGATGACATGTGAGTTGGCAGCTTAAGGTTGTGCTAGTAAGAACAATATAGATTATATTTTGAAGAAGTCGACAACCTTCTATATTAGATGAAGATTTATAAAAAACAACAAACATTTTTTACTGCATTATTCTTTACTACATTACTTATTTTACTACAAAAATAAGAAAATTAAAAACCTTGCCATGAATAATTATCCCTGTAAAAAAGCTGGACTGCTTAAAAAAACTGATCTTCAATCCAAATGGCATAATACCAATACATGCATAGCATGATAGCTGTGCAGTGCAAGGATAAATTAATGGACCGTTTCAGTCAAAAATCTAAAATTGTGGCTTTTCTGGTTTTAGTGTCATTTTAAAGGTCCAAAAGTTGCGCACCTAATGAGCCCAAAACCATTTTTGTGTGTTAATTTGTTTGTTCACGACAGCCGTCAAAGTGCAAGTAAAACTTATACCTTCAATGATGACAAATTTCAGTTTTTAGGCTCTTTTGAAAAATTTAAGTTTTGCACCTTAGAAATCTATCTCCTCCTATGATTTTCAAGCTACAGAAACGAGAGATATACCGTCAAACAGGGTAAAAAGGGACAGGCAGGGTAAATCGGGACGCGAGTCCCACATTTTGTAGAAATGTTGTAGCAGCTAACCTAATTAAAATATTGCAAAACTAAAAATAGTGGCGTAAACTTCAACATTTTTACTACCTATCTATTATGTATAAAGCTAGTCAAGAAATCAAACATTTACTATCTCTAAAAAATTGCTGAAAAAAAGTGTAAAAAGTGCAATTTTGGAAAAGTACCTCTGCTAAGGTCTGGAGCAAAGAAAATATTCGCCATATTAAAAAATTTTACTTACATAAAAGTTGCACCCAGGTGTCGGCTTGAAAATGTAATTGACAGAATTTGCCTATCTCATTAAAAAAAAATGGCAGCCATGTCCGCACGGTGGGGCTACTCAGGAAACCCCCCCCCCGGGGTAAAAAGGGACACCCTTAAAAATGCATTTACAGTAGAACCTGAGTTAGCAAAGGCTCCAGTTAACAAAAAAATTGATTAACAATAGTATAGTCTCTTCGGCATTAAATAAATAGGCCTGGGTAGGCCTGTTGCCGATTCTTGTACTTTTCTTGACTAGACTGGCCTTACGGACAGTAGATTTAAAATCGCTTCTAGATATCAGTTGTTCCGTAGGGTATGAGGCATCTTAAGACTGAACATATGCTCATGCATGGCCTTGTCTAATCTGTTCTTGAATGCGTTCATACTCAGAGCGTCAACAATATCTTCAGGGAGGCTGTTCCACATGTCAGTGACTCGAAGCGAGAAGAAATGTTGTCGCGTGGATAAGTTGAACCGCAGTTTTTTTAAGTTTTTTTAGTTTATAGCTGTGGCCCCTGGTGTTGGTTCTTGTTTCAAATTCTAGTAATCCTTCTGGGACCTTGTACAAACGATGAGTATACTTGTATACTTCAATGAGGTCACCATGCAGGTGATAATAACGGAGACTGGAAAGCTTCATAATCTTCAATCTTTCTTCATAAGACTTGCCCTTTAATCCTGGTATTATCCTTGTTGCACATCTTTGAACACTCTCAACTAAATTTTTGTCCTTTTCAAGTCTCGGTGACCACACAACGTTTCCAAACACTAGGTTTGGGCGCACGACAGAGGTGAACAACAGCTTCATCATTTCTATATCTAGGTACTTGTAGGAGCGTCTGATCAGCCCAAGCAGTTTATTGGATGTATTAACTTGCGTTTCAATATGCCTATAAAATTTTAGCTCCCTGTCGACACAAACTCCAAGATCTTTTTCCACGCAAGACTTCTCAATCATAACCCTCTCATTGCAACCGTGTCTTCTCATGCTGTAAGCTTGCTGTTCATTGTTCTTGCCAAGGTGAAGTACTTTACACTTGTCAGCATTGAAACGCAGCTGCCACGCATCAGCCCAGTCAACTAAACTACCTATCAAGATCATTTTGCAGTTGCATTTCATTTGACGCATCCTTAACTGTATTATAAACTTTTGTGTCATCGGCATACATGGAGCACACGCTTGACACTACTTCTGGTAGATCGTTTATAAAAGCGATGAACTAAACAGGTCCAAGAACGCTTCCTTGCAGTACGCCACTTCGCAGTTACCCAGTCTGATACGGTTCCGTTAATGCTGACACATTGTCTTCTGCCTACTAGGAAATTCCTGATCCATTGGAGTACATTTCCTTCTATTCCCAAAGAATTCACTTTACGTAACAGTGGCTCATGCGGAACACTATCAAATGCCTTGGTACAGTGCATCCACTGGCACCCTTTCAACCAGTAGGCGAGTCCAATTATTTAAGGTAGACAGGAGATTAGTGGTGCATGATCTGCCAGCAATAAAGTCATGCTGACAGTCTGATAGAAGATGGTTAACAGTCAAGTGATCTATAATTCTATCCCTCATAACCGATTCCATCACCTTACACACAACACTTGTGAGACTTACAGGACGGTAGTTACCTGGGTTACTCCTGTCACCTTTTTTGAACAGGGGTGTCACTTGGGCTTCTTTCCAGTTGGCCGGCAAAGTCCCTTTGATTAAGGTTTTTTGAAAGAATGCTGTTAAAGGGCTGGCCAGGACGGTTGCTAATTCGTTGAGCAATCTAGCTAGGGTGGAAACCAGGGTTGGCAATTTTTTTGATTTTTTTTAAAAAATCAAAAAAATCAAAAATCAATGATTTTTTTTATTTTTTCATGATTTTTTTTTATTTATTTGATTTTTTTGATTTTTTCAACTTTTTTGTCTTTTGAAATGTTATTTTTTTATGTTGCAATTAGCCTATTAACAATAACAGTATATGGATCATAATGGATGGCTAAAAAGGGCACTTATTGCCTTCAATAATGGCCAACAGGCCAAGGTGGTGTTTGGAAGTACAGCACAATCGCCCGACGGTAATAAAGTTCAGGAAGTCCAGCACAACCGCACGACAGTAATAAAGTTCCGGAAGCAATTCAAAGCAGGAAACAAGTTGGTCAGGCTCCAGGAGCGACTACACAACACGTCTGATCTCCACCACGTCTCAATCTGAACTCTAAACAATAAAGAATTTTGATTACATTTACCTCACTCAGCAAAAAAATCACTTATCAAAAAATTAGTGCATCATTGGTCATCACAAAATTGTACATAGAATGCTATATATAGAATTGTGCACCAGGCATCATAGAATGAAAAGTAATTGACCTAAACTATGATTTATTTCTCCATAACATTCGATGGTTGTCACTAAAACATTTTCTGTTTCAGGTATGTTTTTCACAATCTTTTTTGTTATAGTGAAATCACTCGACTCGATTAAAATTGTGCGAAATTACAAACCATCCTGTAAGCTTACAGATACAGAAGAAATGCTACATGGTTGCTGATATGAAGCTTGCAGTGGACAAGGTCGTTGTCAATGCTCAATGGCATGTCCATGGATACAGTAATATCACAATAATATGGTAATTAATGAATATGGTAATATCATATCAATAAAGGAAAAACAAGTAAAAATCACAGAAAAGGTCATTTATTTTACATCTACATCATCTACAATGAAAGAGGACTTCAGAGCACTGTTAGTAATGGATGAGTACACTCTGCATGCTTCAAATTTTTTAAAATTAACTTTTATTGCAAGTGTCCCGGATTACCCCGCTGTGAGGGGTAAATCGGGACGGTTTTAATTTGCGTCTGGCACCTCACAAATAGCATATGGAATTTTTTGAAGATGCTATTCAATAGCCCTCGCAAAGAGCTATGAAATGAGCCTAAACTTGTTTCTGAAATGTTTCATGGTAAGAATTTATCAACAAAAAATGCTCAAATCCGTCCCTTTTTACCCCATTTGACGGTATATACATATACACACATATATATATACATACATATATTGGTGTAGTTTGGCAGAAGATTTTCTTTAATGCAGGTTTCATTGAAGACCAGAGAGTATTTCTTATTGACAATTTTCTTATTGTTTATACATAATATATATATACATACATACATATATATTATCAGATGGCAGGATTTACATGTTTACACACGTGCAATTGATGACCAGAGAATTCGTTGGTTTATATCATCAGGGAGTGAAACTTTTTCAGATGACGGTAGATAAAAAGGCAAGTTTCAGGAAGTAGTTTATCTTTATTAATGACGTTTCAAAATGCAACAAACATTCATTTTCATGTTAGAAGAAGCATTAAATATTGAAATTTTGGTGGAAATAAGTACATACTATGAGTAAATAGGTTACAACAGTAAAATTTTGGACCAAAAATTACTCGGAAAATTCTTTCAGAGTTCAGACAAATCTGGTAGTCAGAAAATAGATCACAATATCTCAAGGAGTTCTTCTAAGTTTCCAGATGTATTTTACTAGCTGATGATGGGCATAGCCCGAAACGTTCTGTTTTGTTTATCTACGACTTCTATTCAGTAAAAATGTTTTATGCAACTTTTTTAGTTTTAGCCTTTATTCTTAAACTCAGAAAATAGATGAATAGATGATGCTGGTGAGTACGTTCAGCACCATGCAAGTGATGGTCTGGTTATAAGCTTGTCTCGCGTGGTTCACTTGCCCTCCAGTTTGAAGGTAGCTAACGAGACAGCGGCTCGGTGTCTTGATTGTTAGTCCAATCTGTCCGATGTTGTCTAAAACATGAAGAAGTCTACAACCTTCTTTGAAGCAAAATTTTTGGACTACACCAGCCTCTCGGATAACTCCCGCGTTCTTGTAGGGGCCTTTGTTGCATTTAGTTTGGAATTTGACATTGTTGTCAAGAGTGTCACAAAGCCTGTTGAATTCATCGACAATTTTGAGATGAACTTGCTTGTTAATAATGCTTTGAGACCTGGTATGGTAGTGAGCTTGTCTCTGGTGGTAGGAGAAACGGCAGTTCAATGTCACAGTGCTCACTCCAATAACTCCAATGTAATCCATAACGAGAAGTCTACAACCTTCTTTGAAGTAAAATTTATAGAATACACCGGCCTCTTGGAAAACTCTAGCTTTTTTGCAGGAGCCGTTGTTCGGTATAGTCTGAGGTTTGACTTTGTTGCCAAGGGTGTCAAGGAGCCAGTCAAATTCATCGACGATCTTG